TGTATCTTAGCCACTTTTAAACCATTTAGTTTGCTAATATTGGCTGTTCTATTTATATATTTGCATCATTTTCAACGTTAGTGATACATTTCAATACAACAGCAAAAACTTATCAACGCGATATACACGTTCTACCATAAGGCAGACACCCACAACACAACACAGTAATAATAATAAATAATAATAAATATTAATCAATAATAATCAATACCACTCCATATAAACTCAACAATCATGTAAGAATCAAGTGGCAATAACTCACAAAACATTCTCCAGTTTCCACGCTGCACTCGTCAGAATGCCCGTTACAGTTGCACTTGACACAAATGCCCAGATATGGAGTTGTACGTGCCCTGTAGTATGATGGTGCACAGTGCTGGGGGTAGACAGTATATGAACAATTTTTAAACATATATGAAGAATGTTTAAAAGTATATGAACAATTTTTAAAAGTATATGAGCAATTTTTAAAAGTATCTCAATATATGACAAACAGCTACATGTTGGCCTTCTAAGTATCCGTGAAGGTGAATATTTAAAACTGACCAAAGCCTCTCAGTTCCACAGCAGATGGTACTTCAGTACCAGGTCAAGGGAAAAATTTCTTTACCAGCCTCACAATAATAAATGCAAACCCTTTTCAGGAATCAGACCCCAGAAAAGATTTTGTGCCATCTCCACAATGAAGGCTGACCACACGCACTGATGTCTTTGGGAATATTACACGGTGAGATCCTAATCTCTTGCACAGTGCAACTCTTGTACTACCGTCCAAAACCATGAAAATAGTAAACCATCATTGGTGGAAATTGAACCATTGCACTTGGGGATCATGAAACTCATTCACTAACCTTTAAGCCACACAGGGGTCGGACAACCTGAATACCAATACATTTTTAGAGTTCATAGCTGACACTCAAGTCTTCAAATTACAACTAATCATGATCATTTCTTTTATCTATAGGATATCCAAAATCACACATACCAACTTTTTTCCGCCCGTATGGGTTCCGGGGTCCGAATTGGGGGAGGAGGGGATTACCCCCCATCTTTAAAAAAGCATGTCTTAAAATGTGACAAATGGGGAGTTTCCTTTAAAGATGGAGTGCATCTGCCTGTGAGGCGAGGAACCAACAATCTGCACATAAAAAAGCCAGATCTGTAAAATGGATGTGTGTGTGAAACTTATGTTCTAGAATAAGTCTCGTCCAGAAGTGGACAACAAACAAAACTTTGCACCGGAGTTTACAGCTGGTGAATGTGAAGAAGAAAGACTTGAGGACATAAATGACAGGAGATGCAAGTGACAGGACTGCTTGGCTGGTTGAAATCCTATGCTCCAAAAGGGAATAAATAGAAGACCACAGCCTCTAAAGAAGCCAAAGATATCTTGTGAAGAAATAATGACATGGACAGAATATATTCAGCCTGTGTGAAAGTGTTAAAGACCTTCTGGTCCACTGAAAACCCACCTTGACTGGAAACATGTCGCGAACGATGCAGAAGTTGAATGTGAAGTGAAAATGTATTTATTTAACAAAGCATGCAGTTCTATGCTGCAGATTTGGGACTGATAAAACGATGGGACAAGTGCATACATTTTGGTGGAAATTATGTTGAAAAATAAAGGGACAGTGTATGTGTAAAAATAAACGGTTTTCAAGTTGTTATCATCTTTATTATTATTTTTTTAAAAAACCATTTATGACTTACTGACTTCCCCTCGTACATATGATCACCTACTAGTTCATAACTTATTGGAGTATTTGTGTTAGCAATATCTTTACCTACATATGGATGGTTTTAACATACGGCTATGAATCCTGGATGATTAATAAACAAGCCAAACAATTTCTTAATACCTCAGATATGTGGTTTTATAGGTGAATCCTTAGAATTCCTCGGACAACCAAAAAGAGCAACCCAGATTTTGTTTTGAAGACAACTTTTCATAAATGTCAGAAAGAGACAGCTGTAATTTTTTTTCGTCATGTTATGAGAAGAAAGAAACTGGAACATGTGACCACTGGAAAGATCTGTGGGAAAAAAATACTGAGGAAAACAACAGGAGAAAATTCTTGCCAGTCTTTTGTCATGGCATGGATGGGTGTCAGCACACATACTGATACATGTTGTTGAAGATTACAGATTGCAGACAGGCATGATCAGACACACCAGTTTTCAAGGTACCTGATGATGATGTTACACAATAAGACTGCCTTACCTCACACGACAAACCAATATAGTTAGGGGGGCACTGACAGCTCTCAACACTACCCGCCAACTCTCCGTTACTTGTTGCTGATGCAACCTCCAACTCAACGTCTGACAGTCTGAAATTGAGATTCAAACAAACACTGCTTCAGGAGATACAAAACTGGTGGTTGTATCAGGAGCGAGTAAAATAAATAGAAGCTTCAAATAAAAACAAACTAACCTACAGGTACTGTCCTGTGTTTGCTGTGGTCAGCAGCAAACACAAGAGTACTGGTATTCATGCCCTGAAAGCATCTCAAGGTGGGGCAGTGAACATGGACAAGGGGGACAAATTTATCTGGGTGCTGTCCCTGGAGCAAACACTGGTGACCTTGACTCTCAAATCCTCTTCGTTTTCTTATATTTGTTAGGAAATTCATTTTGTCTGTTTTGTTATTTTTCCTTATTCTGCCGCTCTTTGCTTAGTATTTTCCAACACTGGGCTCTCTTCTTCTTCTTCGCATTCACCGGCTGTAAACTTTGGTGAAACGCGTTGTGGCTGTTGGTCCACTTTTGCACTCTAGTCCTTTTCTAGAATCAGTGTTGTGTGCAAATCCATTTTACAAATCTAGCTCAATTATATGCAGACTGTTGGTTCCTCGCCTCTCAGGTAGATGCACCCAAGACTTCAAAGGAAGCTTACAATCTGTCAACTTTACTTTTGGGTAGGCAGTAGGTCTCTTCTTTTTTTCCCCACAATAGGTCCCCAGAATCATAATAGGTAAACATTTTTTTTTCTATCGCCGCCATCCCCCCCCCCCCCAAACCATCCACCCCTTTTTCCCTGATTGGAGCATAGGCCCTCAACTCACGCCAAGTTGTTTTTGTCCTTCGCTTCACATGCAGCTCTTCCCATGTCCTCTCCATCTTCAGGCTATTTTACTTTCTTCTGTTTAATTTCTTCTTGAATATTATATATGTATTTCCCTTATACTTTTAATAACTGATCTTTCACCCATTGGTTTTTCTGCCACAATTAACATCTTTTCTTTAGGCATCATTTTTTCAGCATCACTGTGATAGAGCACAGAAATGCAAAGACTAAACAGCATTACAAATCTGTGGCTAAGCGCCAGCAAGCGAATACAAGTCAAAATTTTGAGAGCTCACACCTTTCCTATAGCAACATATGGATGTGAATCATGGACTATCTTGCAATCATTAAGGAAGAAAATATAAGCCTTTGTGCCAAAATGATATAGAAAGGTTCTCAGAATTTCATGGATCAAAAAGACAAGACATACTGACATCCAATTCACTAATCAAGGAAAATTGGCTCATAAACAGCATCTTGCCTCAGAAGCTGAAATACTCTGGCCATATCAAGCGCATATCACAGTGAATTGGAAAGAACAATAGCAGAAGGCCTGGTCCTGAGTAATAGGGGCAGGAGTGGACCAGCATGAAGATGGACACAGTCCATAAAAGAAACCTTGGGCAGGATAGTTTATGAGGTGGGAGAGCTGGTGAGGGACTAAGTTTCTTTTGGGGGTGCTGTGATGGCAGCGATGTTCTGTAAAGTACATCCTACAATTATGATGACTGAGAGAGACACTGTTGTGCATACTGGCAACAATTTTTGGTTAGTCTGACATTAGTCTCCCCAAATAGAGTAGGTCACTTTTCATTCACAAGTTTGTTGGGCTGGTCGACTTTCCTTAAGGTTACGGGTGTGTCCTGCTCTGTTGTTTGGTTTCTGCGATGTCTTGCATTAATGTTTTTATTCCGAGAAAGAGAACACCTGTGACATAGGTTGCTGCACTCTCTGGGGGGGGGGGGGGGGGGGGGTTGGTTTAACCCAATTTCTCTATGTTTATGGAGTATTAAGGGCGCTGGCGTGCTGAAATATACAACACGCGATATCAACGGCATTGCGGAACACCGTGTAACCTTGTGCAAAGGTTATGAGGCTCAGGAACTTCAAATCAGAAAAGGCACGGGGCTCAGGAACTACCAATCAGAAGTGAGCTAGTGTGTATATAGGCGGGGTCTGGGGAGACTAACATTACTTTGACCCAAATTATTTTTTTTAAACTAAAAAAAAAAAAACCAGTTCTGGTTATACCTTTACACCCATAGCTGTGGATGCTTTAGTGTTTGTTTTCTTTTTCTATTTTCATCATATTCTTCTAGAGACAATACCTTTTTATTGCAGATTTCATGAATATGATGTAACACAAAGATAACTGGAACATAAGACAATACCTAATAACTTCTTCTTTTTCTTAAAGTCCATGCCGTGTGGCTTTGGTAGTCAAATGTCTATCCTCAACCTTCTGTCTCGTGTACTTCCAATCAATTCTGACACACATGTTCCTCCATGCCATGATGTCAAACTGTCTAGAATCTTTGCTCTCAATCTTCCTCTGCCTCTCTTCCCCTCCAACTTTCCTATTGTCACAATGTCCTCCAGTTTTCTCCTTCTCATAACATGACCAAAGAATATAGACTGTCTCTGTTTTATGTGGGCAAACAAGTCTCTCCATGAGTTAGTTTCTAATAAGACATCTTCACTACTTTAAAAAAAAAAATCTGTTCTGGGTATTCATCATTCGTTCATAAAACCCCATTTCTGTAGCTTCCAAACAATTTTTCAGAACTGTCCATAATTCAATTTTTTAATACCTTTTAAGAATTCTCTTTCTCTTTTTAACTGACAAAGAAAGATTCCATTCCTGATTACTGCAGATTATATAAATATGATGCAACACAAAATAACTAAACACATAAACAGCCAATGGTACCTGACTTCACCCATCACTGTGTAATAAGATGCTCTGATATGGATGCTTTCAATGTTGCTTAAAATCATCATAAACTGTTCCCTGGATGGTGGGGTGTTTGTCTGCTGGTGTCTGAAGTTGTACTGAAATTAGACATGTCAATTACCATCACAAATTTGATAATTTAGTGTGACTTATACACTTCACCTAGACCTATCTTCACATAAAGTTCTGAAAAGAAGAAAAAAACCATAATTGTCTTATTAACTGATAAATTTCCCCTCTAGTTACTTCCTAACTGATACCATTAGTATTCGAACTCTGCGCTGGCTGCTGAAGATGAGGATAGAGCACACAAGGGAATGCCCCTAGTGCTGTGATGTCAATTCTTGACTCAACTCAACACTTATACTTCCTATTTTGGTTATTCCAGTATCATGGGTTTGATGAAGCTGCAGGTGATTTGATATTACAATGGTTTCAGTCTTAGTTAAATGCAATGATGGTCTGGTGAGAGCAGTGATGAAGGGTGTGGTTTCCGGAACTCAACAAATATCAAACTACAAACATAAAATCATCATCATCAAGTTCCTTGTCGACTGGCATAGGCGATCATGCCTCTCCACAATCTGCAATCTCCTGCAGTATGTATCAGGTGTGCTGACACACCTCCATGCCATGCAATAAGACTGTCAAGAATCTTCTCTCGTTGTCTTCCTCTATCCCCTCCTTCCACAGATCTTTCCAGTAGTCACAACATGTTCCATTTTCCCTCTTCTCATAACATGGTGTCTCATTCTGATGTCTGTGATAAGTTGTCTTCCGGCTCCCGCCTCTTTCAAAACCTCTTGGTTGCTCTTTTTGGCTGTCCACAGTATTCTAAGCATTCTTTTGTTAAACCACATCTGTGAGGCCTCAAGAAATTGTTTGGCCTGCCTTGTCCAGGATTCACAGCCATATGTTAAAACTGGATGTATGTAGCAAGCAAGAATTCTTTTTCTAACTCTCAATGACAAGGATATATTGCACAGGATGTTCTTCACTCTATGACATGGCTATCAGCGGGTAAGAGGTGCCATAACCTCCCCCCCCTTGCAGGGTAATTCTCCTTAGACAAAGGCTATTGGAGTCAAACCATATACAAACCGGCGGAAGGCAAGGGGAAACCACAGCTGTATTATTCCTAGTAAATCATGCCTCAAAACATTTAATTATATATCAATTAACAAGTACCAACTAACAAATACAACAAAAGACATTTAAGAAAAGAAGCAGCCATGAATCTTTAACAATAACTGACCTCAAATAGGGGCACTTCAGCATTCAAAGATGTGCTGGGCTGTGGCTGCGTGTCCTGGTAGTGAACTATGGTCATATTGTTACCCTGGTAAAAAAAAAAATAAAGTAAAATGTATGATAATATAAAAGATTTTTGTAATATCTTTCTTGTGCCTTTCTAGCTCGCAGTGGAGCAAAGGCCCTCAGCCAACTCCCACCACATCATTCTATCCTTTGCTAACACATGCAGCTCTTGCCCCCCCATCTTTCTAACTTCATTCTCCAGCTCCCTTCTCCATGTGTTTTTTTTTTGACCTTCTTTTATTCCTATGCCATTCCAGGTTCCAATTCTGGAGGTTTTCTTAGGTGAGAGGAGGTATGTCGACGATGCGGACTCCTTTCAGCTTTCTCCACACCATGTCATACTTCTTTGAAGAGGCTTCCCTCATCTTGGTTGGCTGGGTTTTACTTGCTTCTCTTTTTGACTTATCCATGGTTGCTTATAATTCTGTCACTGCAGATTTCATTTAGAATGCTTTTCAAATGTGTCCAACATGGTTTCTATTGTGAACTAAAGATTTAGAAACTGGTGAGTGTTGCCAGACAACTGGTGGTGCCTGATGTGATTAAATACATACATACATATACATACATACACATATACATATACATACATATACATACATATACATACATATACATACATATACATACATATACATACATACATATACATACATACATACATACATATACATACATACATACATATACATACATACATACATATACATACATATACATACATATACATACATACATATACATACATACATATACATACATACATACATACATATACATACATACATATACATACATACATATACATACATACATATACATAATACATATACATACATATACATACATATACATACATATACATACATATACATACATACATACATATACATACATACATACATATACATACATACATATACATACATACATATACATACATACACATACATACATATACATACATACATATACATACATACATATATATACATACATATACACATACATATACATATGTACACACACAAACATATATTTATGTATGTATATATATTTACACACATACATTTATACATATATGTATATATGTACGTACGTGTGCGTTTGTGAGAGACTGCAGGTCTTTTGTAACCGCTGCTTTCATCGATAAAAATATGTGCAGTTGCAGATCACAGATTGTAAGTAAGTAAAGGACCCTTTTCCACGCCTTTAGGCATACAGGGCATTTAGGGCTAGACCTATATTTTACAGACCAATCGGCACAATATGGGTGATGTGGTCATTTTAACGCCGGCTGCCTTTACTTCTCGGTACCCACTCAAGGCTGGGTCGACCTGGGAGCTAAGGTCATTAAAAAAAAAAAACTCTCTGCCAGGGAGGGAACTCATGACCTTCGAATCCACAGCAAGCGTCTAGCCGCTATGACAAGACAACTCCCATTGCATATTGTAGAGAGAGCATAATCGCCCACGTCAGTTGGCAAGGTACTGGATGTTATTGTTTTTGCTGAGACTGCAGTATGTGTCAACGATTTTACACAAGGGGCAGGGATGAACATTCTTTGCTGTTTTCACTGACACAAAAACAGAACAACTCCTTTTCAGGCTGTGACTGTGCTATGTATGTTATCCTCCTGTGCTCCAGTTTAACATATTTGGTGTTAACATATTGAGCCCTGTCATCTATCAGACTTATTTAAGGACCACAGCGCATGCTAGCAACATCATTTTTACAGACCAAGCTGCATGTGCTGAATGATGTAGTCAATACCCTGAATGCGGAAATGAAATAAAAAATTTGGAGATAAGTTCCAGCACTACTCACTTTGAGAATGATATCAGGCAGAATAACACCTTCAGTTTCACGACCTCGAGGTAGTGTGAACAACGCAGTATATTTGAGTTTGCCACCATATGAGTTGATCTGAAAGAAATAACAACAACAGTGTTATCTTTCAACTCATCAACCGTATACCATAATTATCCTGTGTTACTACAACACTAAGAAACACAAACAGAACTTAAATCTGCTTTTTTCTTCTTCTTTTCTTTAGACCTGGGTTGTCTTTTAGCTTCTGAAGAGGGGTCCTGTGCGAGCCTTGGGGTGTGCAAGGTAGATGCTGGCCTTCAGTCTCAAATCTTTCAACTATCCGTTGCTCGCCTGGGTGAACTCTAGCTCTGCTTCACTCATGTCTAAATTCTCTCTCATTCACTATCTGATAGTAGTCTTGAAAAATGTATAAACCATTTAATCTGTTGTATCTTGATGCGCTTTATCCACTGGTTCTGTCCCAACTTGCTCAGCTTAAATCTCATATGGTATATCTATGATGTGTTTAATCTGTTGCTGTTCTTCCTCCTCTTTACTAAGTTTCTTTTTACATATCTGAAAACTGTCAGGTGGTCATAGGTTTACAATTCCCATCGAGGAGGATTTGAATAACATGATCTGGGCTGCCACGATGACCCAGGCCAAACAAGTTACCAACAGGGCGCCTTTTATAGGCATTATTTTTTGTACTCAGAATTTCTTTAACAGACACTGTCTGGTGACTACTGGTATATTTGTGATTCACTTTTTGGTGACTTAAGTTAGTTAGTTCCATATCCTGTACAGGACGTAGCAGAACCAACCCCAACAGCCCCTGGCTGTTGTGTGATTTTCTAGGGATATTTACATCCAGTAGTTTGCCATTTCTTTCTGGATGGTTGGCTTTCTTGATACCACTGCCAAAACCAATGCAAGGCACATGGCCCGCATCTGGGATCGAACCCGGTATCCCAGCATTACGAAGCGTTTGCATCAACTTAGCCACAGAGCCGACTTTTGGTGAGTACCATCATTTAAAAAAAAGAAAAACACACACCATGAAATATCTAAAGAAGGGGCAGGAAAGAGTTGGCGGTGGGAAGGTATGTGATATTTACATGACCCACAGAATGACAGATGGCTAAAACAATTATGGTAATCATCATATTCTGGAAATGCCTAAATGCATAGAATTAGAACTTTAATGGATTTTTTTTAAACATTAAATATATTATAATGCTGATTATACAAGAGAGTGAAAGAGAGAGTTCATAACAACATACCTTTCTTCCAAGATATGGAGCTGGAGCTACCCAATACAAGTTGGCACCTTCTAGAACATTCTCTGCAGTACTTAGTCGGATAGTATTCCGAGCTTCCTGTACAGTATAATCTCCTGAGCCAGTTACTGTCCAGCCTGTCATGTCAGTGAGCTGTAAGATAAACAACAAGTCATGATTTAGTATGTGTTTTAACATATGTCAGTTATAAAACCTGCTGACTTTTCTATGCCAAAGGAATTATAAGTATGTCTGATGTGTGTTATTTTAAAGACTGTTCTTCCATAATTACATAATGTTTTATGTTCTATAATCAAGATCAGTTACACATCGCACTGATGTTAGAGTTACTGTAAAAGACATGAAGTGAAGAGGGAGAAGAGAGAAGACTGAAATATGACAGAAGGAGAGAGGAATAAGAGGAAACAAAACAGTCAAGAAAAAATGAACAGAAAAAAAAGGAAACAGGAGTGGGGTTGTATTAAGGGAGAAGATAAGTGACAAGTGACAAAGAATAAATAAAAAGATGAAAAAAAAGGGGAGGTGGGAGAGTTAGAAGACGAAGTGAGGATATGAATGAGAGAGATGAAAAGACAGAAAAAAGGAGGGGGGGGGGGAAATGGAGTAAGGAGATGAATGAGAGAGGATAAATAAAAAGACCAAAAGAGGACAGAGAAAAGGGATAGAGTGCGGAGAGAGAAGAGAGAGAGAACAAAGGGAACAGACTACACATGCAAAATGTCAAATAAGGAAACCTACCAAAGCCACACATTTATGTGTGAAGAGCAGCAGTTTAGGAAAATAGAAACGCATACTCAAAAGAAAAGTCTGAAAAGCAAAACCTATATAAAACTGGTTATGTGCTATTATTTGGGTACAAATATCATAGTTAACTAATTCTACAGGGCAAATATCCTGAGGGTGGGGGTGGGGGGGGGACCCCACCAATCTGTCTGAGAGAGAGAGGGTAGGGGGGGAATCCCACCAATCTGTCTGAGAGAGGAGAGGGGGGGGGGAACCCCACCAATCTGTCTGAGAGAGAGGAGGGGGAAACCCCACCAATCTGTCTGAGAGAGAGGGGGGGACCCCACCAATCTGTCTGAGAGAGAGAGAGGGGGGGGAACCCCACCAATCTGTCTGAGAGAGAGAGAGGGGGGGGGAACCCCACCAATCTGTCTGAGAGAGAGGGGGGGGGGGAACCCCACCAATCTGTCAGAGAGAGAGAGAGGGGAGAGAGAGACAGACAGAGAGACAGACAGACAGTCTGAGAGAAGAGAGAGAGAGAGAGGGGGGGAACCCACCAGGGACGAGAGAGGAGAGACCAAGAAGAGAGAGGGGGGACAGACAAAGAGAGAGGGAGGGGGGAGAGAGAGAGAGAAAGAGAGAGAGAAAAGAGAGGGAGAGAGAACCCAACCAGAGAGAGAGAGAGAGAGAGGGGAGACGACCCCACCAATCTGTCTGAGAGAGGGGAGAGAGGGGAGAGAGACAGAGAGTCTGAGAGAGAGAGAGGGAGAGAGAGACAGAATCTGTCAGAGAGAGAGGGGAGAGAAAGAGACAGAGAGGGAGAAAGACAGAGAGAGAGAGAGAGAGAGAGGGAGGGGGAGAGAGAGAGAGAGAGAGAGAGAGAAAGAAAGAGAAAGAGAGAGAGAGAGAGAGAGAGAGAGAGAGAGAGAGAGAGAGAGAGAGAGAGAGAGAGAGAGAGAGACAGAGAGAGAGAGAGAGAGAGAGAGGAGAGAGAGAGAGAGAGAGAGAGGAACATATATACAATTCTAAAACATAAACTTTCAATAATTCCCATTCATTTCAGTACTGCCCCAAAACAAAGTAAATTCATTGTGCTCAAATGTTTTGTTTGTGTCTGAATTATAATGGTATTAACTGCCAGGAATGGATTTAACATAATTTACATATTTGACAAACTAATTTCTTCTTTGCTCATTTGATATTTATGCCTTTTTGTCTACACATCCAGCTACTTAGGGCATTAGTTGAGTATGTTAGCCTTCCTAGGGGAAAAACATCTGATATTGTCTTAATAAAGTCGATTGACTTTAACTGCTGAGCATCGACAAATTTGATTAATCACACTTAAAATCATACATACCACATCCCAGCTGAGCTCAGCAGTGTCACATCTGGTTGTATGACCAAAGCAGAAACATTGGATACAGCCTTTAGGATTCTCCGCACTGAGGCTAAATGTGCCGTCAACACAAGAGCTACACCTTGGACCTTCAACATTATCTGAGGATGAAGATAGTAAAAATCATTAAAGTTAAAAATGTACTAAAGCTTTCAGTGACAGAAAAATGGTTGAAAGTGCAACTGAGTAAATAATTAATGTTACTTATTTGATGTTTAACTCAAGTATAGCAGCAGAGGAAAAAATAACATCAGAAAAACTCTGCAACAGCATTATGTGTTTATGATCAAGGCAGCCAGATGAGCAAGAAGTATAATCTTATATCTCCCTCCGTAAAAGAGGAAGCGAAGAAGAAGCAGAAAAATAGCACTATATTGAGTGAAGAGTAGAAAGCATTCATCAGAATAGAAAACATGGACAATAACAAACTACATAAAAGACTATATGTAATAATCTAGGTTTCAGATTCAGGTCAACTGCCTGTCAAAAGAATACTTGAAAACAAACAGTGCTGGTGTGTTCCTCACTGAATTGTCATGGATAGACAACAAACAGGAAGTGACCCAGGAAAACAAAAAAAAATAGAAGTGGGAGGTTTAGAGGTTAGTTTGGGAAAATAAGCTACTAAAAAAAATAATCAGATGAATGTGTTTTTAAGGCCATAAGGAGATTGAGAATCTAACTGAAGGATAAGAAGATTGTTCAGGGAACCATACATTCTTCAGTGGAAAAGCAAGACTCAATAAATAAAGCCTACGTACATTACTTTTACGGGGGCAGCATATAACTTAGAACATAAAACACACTATGTACTTTCTAAAATAATGGGCCAAATGATTATCACAAAATCGTATCACATCATGCGTTGTTTGGGACATATAGGCAGTATTTGATCAGGAATGGTGCGTTGGGACTGAAATACACATGTAAATGTACGCCTGAAGAAGTAAATAAAAATTGCCTCCAAATACAGCAAACAGATAACTTTAAATAAAGCTAACAGATTATTTTAATGGGAGGTGATTAAGTAAGGCTGTATAATGCATAAGAAATAGACATGCTAACAACAAACCTTGCACAAGCATCGTGCAGTAACTTTATCACAAATTTGTTCCTCAGTTCCACGGGTATCACAGCCACACTCTTCACAGTAAGGGAATGAATGGTGGCCTGCCAAACAAGTATCACAACGCCGCCCACCAACACCAGGCTTGCACCTAGTGTATCACAAACATTATAATTATAGCATATGTCCATTCATCTCACATTTACCTTTTTGATAAGATTTGGTTAAACAAAAATATTTTTGTGCATAATCAAACATAGCAGGTTTGTCTGGTCACTAACTACACTCATGTTGTTTTCTTCTTGTTCCATCAATAATCATCATCAATCTGCTAGTTCTTTACAGAACATTGCTCTTGTCATGGCACACCTGAAAGTCTCCCGTTTCTCCAGTCCTTTGTGTTTTCATAGCCAGTGCATCTTTAATGGCTTACATCCACCTTCGCAGAGGTCTGTTGTGGAACAATCAGCGCTCTGTCCCCATCTTCAGCAGAAAGCGAAGAGTTCCAATTCTGATGGTACCAGCAACTGTCTGAATATATATTCGTCTTGCATTTCCTTGAGTGTTGGGCATTGGCCAGATTCCCTGGTAACTAATTCCCTGCTGCTCTATTCTCCACAGACCATAAAGATCTATCTATGCCTCTGCACTGTTCCACTCACTCCAAAAGGACCCTCACAACATCTAGCCTGTCATACACGAGTTCACCAACAGGTGGTGCAAAACTGGGCAGTCCATGCCTCTTCATTTCCAAAAATACCGGCTTATTCTTATTAAACTTACATATAATACTTTATTTGTTTTGATATTTATTGTATATTTATTCATCACAATGTACTGAATGTCAGTCTGATTCTTAACATGGGATCTTAACTCTAATGAGCAACTGTCAGATTCTTTAAAAAAAAGGTCTAGAATAAATGAAAATAGGTCTCTCGTATGGGTTTCAGGGCCCCTATTGTGGGGAAAACAAGGACAGATCTGCAGCCTCCCCCCAACAAGCATGATGTAGGAGTCGACTAACTGGGGGCATCCTTTGAAGTCAGATTACATCTGCCTGAGATGCAATGAACCAAAAGTCTGCAAAAAAAAAAGTCAAATGAGTGAAACAGATGTGCACACGAAACTCAGGTTTTGGAACAAGACTAAAGTCAGAAGGTGGACAAACAGAGAACTTTTCACCCGAGTTTACAGCCAGTGAACATGAAGAAGAAGAAATGAAAACAGGACATAACATTATTCTTCCAGACAATATTTGTTTTGCAACCAGGAACTCATTTCTACAAGATACAAGTAATACAAGACTCACTTGCACTGTCCGGTGATCTGGTCACAGTTTAGGTCACCAAATAAGACTCCATCATAATTACAGGTACAACGCTGGGGAAGAAAAACATAAGCATATGCTGATTAAATAGTTATACTAACTTGAACAAAAAAGTTAGTTGTGTATCCTTTCTTTATTAGTTGTGTATCCTTTACAGGACGTTGCAGAACTAACCTCAGCAATTTTTTTTGGGGCTGTTGCTGTTTTTTTTTTTTTCTGGGCAAATTTACATTCAGTAGTATGCCATTGCTTTCTAGATGGTCTGCTCTTGATACCACTGTCAAAACCAACACAAAATAGTCTGCTGACAAATCGCCTGCAGCTGGGATCACGTTCGCAATGCCTAAACCACAGATTCTGACCAAAGGAGATACAGACAATAAATTGCACAATTTATTCCTTGGATAAATTTTGCTGTATTTCATCAGGTTCATACTGCAACTACAACTAATTTAAATGAAGCAAAAAATTAAATCCTTCTAGCTGAAACACAAAATGACTACATAAAAAAATAACTGCCCTTTGACTAGGGCAAACCCACTGTGTTTTTATCTTTTTGGAATGATACAGGTACTCAAGTGAATTCTTGGGAACCGGATGCCAGGGACTGTGTTGCATGAATTACCTTTGATGCCCCCCTCCCCCACCCCAAAAAATCATAATGTTATAATTGTGGAAGTCTTTTCTTAAAATGTGCAGGACTTGTCAGTCACACGCGCCATTGCCATGCCCCTATACAGTACTGTGCCGAGGCACAGATAGAACTATTACGGTCTGAGCATAATGGCACTGCGAGGAGTTTCCAGGGGATCTAGCCGACGCTCAACACTCGGGGAAAGGCGAGACATTCAGACATTTACTGGTACCCTCAGAATTTTAACTCTTTGCTTGCTGCTGTAGATGGGGACAGAATGCTTATGGGGGTGTCTCGAGTGCTGTGATGTCGATTCAACATTCAACAGTACCATATAAAATTATCATCTGTACAGAAAGAAAGGGGCCAACAATAACTCTGAACATTTTCATTATATTTTCCAGCGTTTCATGTTTTTACTGTTATTTTCTCATGAGTGTTTTCAATTCCCCTTGTTACAGTCTCCTTTTTATCCCTAGCATTCATGAAGTGAAAAGATTAAAGTAAACCACATATGCAAACATCTAATATTTCTACACAATCCACATCTCTTTGCTTAAAACATGCTAAAGAACTGAAAATAAAGCTTACCTGGCATCCAATGAGGGCATCATAGCCATAAGCCTCTGGTTCACACCTCTCACATCGATCACCTTCAACCCGGGGTGGACAGATACACTCACCTGTAACTTCATGGCACAGACCAAACGGACAATTGCAAGCTGAAAATTCAGTTAATGCTCTCATTATCATTAAAACAATTATGATTATTTTGCATCCACACATGGATGGTGTATATATACACCCGTACATATATGGGTTTAGGAATCCATACGGATAACAATGGAAATGGGATGCTGAGGAGGGCTGTAGGAGTGATCAGAAGAAATATAATCAGAAAAAAGGTCATAAGAGAAAATGCCGGCAATGAACTAATTCTAAATTGAGTACAAAGACAGCAAACCAACTGGTCTGCCCTCTTAGAGAGAATGACTTGTGAGGCCATACCATACAAGGAATACACCAAAAGAGGAGAAAGACATGGAGCACAAGGTAGACTAAGAACAAGAAGGAAAGATAACATCATAGAAACTCTGCAGCATGATAGGTCTATGATCAAAGCAGCCAGGAGAGCAAGAAGCAGAACCGTGTATGTCCCTTGATAGCTGAAGTGGTAAAAGAGGCAGTGAAGAAGAAGAAGATACAGAAAAATTTCTATGATACAGGAGTCTATGATAATCCGGTCTACAATTTTCAAACCCAAACAGATAAATTATGGCTCTAATTTTCAAATCCAAACAGATAAATGATGGCTCTAATTTTCAAATCCACAGATAACTTACGTCTGCAATTGGGGAATCCATAGAAACCTGGCCTGCATGCTGAGCACTGGCGACCAATGATGTTGTCTCGACACTGGCACTGACCCCCAAACTGGTCACAGGTGAAGCTGAGAGAGCCATCTGCATTACAGTTACAGTCCAGAGCTCCATTGTTGAAGGTGGTTGTTAGCGTGAAGACCCCTTGACGGCAAAATTCTATGTCAGTTCTGCCAAAAGATAAGAAGTCAGGCATGCACCAATTATTTTAATGCTATAATTTATATTCAACGTGTGAGGTGGTTCATGGTTAGTGTGCCTGTTCACAAAGTTGAGATTTCAGTGTTAAATGGATGTGAATCTTCACAAGTCAGGCACTTGAGTCAGTTTATAACAGTGGTTTTCAACCATTTCCAAGTACATCTCTCAAGTACCTAAGCAATACCTATCAAATAAAGTACCCTGGTTCTATGTGTGGTAAGACCTATCAAATAAAGTACCCTGGTTCTATATGTGGTAAGACCTTTCAAATTAAATTTCCCTGGTTCTATGTGTGGTAAGACCTATAAAATGAATTCCCCTGGTTCTATGTGTGATAAGACCCTTCAAATGAATTCCCCTGGTTCTTTGTGTGGTAAGACCTACCAAAAAAATACCCTGGTTCTATGTGTGGTAAGACTTATCAAATAAAGTACCCTGGTTCTATGTGCTCCTGTATGGTATTCAATAGGCCAGGATATAATCATATTTAAAAAACAGCATTGGGGTGTGGGGGGGGGGGGATTTTTATGACCCTGATTGGTCAAAAAAATTCTGAGTACATTTAACAGGAACTTGGAGAAAAACATCCACATAAATCAAAGTGTCAAATAACATAAAAGGAACAATTATCAACACTGGTCATTTAGTGTCCAAATATCAATTTCATGTGAATCTCCATCTCTGATATCTGTTAAAATGAGTGCTGGATGTATTTCAGAATTTAATTTTAAAAAAAAAAACTGGGAAAGAAACTGATCACCTCACTTCATTCAAAACTGCTATCCCTATCTCATTATCTGTCATTGGACTACCTTATAAACCAGTAGTTTTCAATATAAAATTGAAAGGAAGTTTCAAAAGGGGAGAGGGAAAATGAGTAGTAAAGTTTCTCAAGTAAAGTATCCTGCCAGATGGCACAGACCAATATATTTCTCCTTAAATCTTGGTCCCTGATATTCTGGATGCACTTACTGATGATTTTCCTCCATGCTCACTGGGACCACCCAGCATCCTTTCTCTGTCTGTTCATGCCACTTCTACCACTGATCTTTCCAGTTGTCACAATGTTCTCCAATGCCTGACTTCTCATCCCATGAACAAAAAACACTGTCTCTTAAAGCTGCTACATACAATGTTCTAATTTTATTAGCTTGTTTCAGGCAATTGTTATTAGGTACTCTGACTGTTTAGCAACTGTTATAAGTTACTCTGACTGTTTAGCAACTGTTATAAGTTACTCTGACTGTTTAGCAACTGTTATAAGTTACTCTGACTGTTTAGCAACTGTTATAAGTTACTCTGACTGTTTAGAAACTGTTATAAGTTACTCTGACTGTTTAGCAACTGTTATAAGTTACTCTGACTGTTTAGCAACTGTTATAAGTTACTCTGACTGTTTAGCAACTGTTATAAGTTACTCTGACTGTTAGCAACTGTTATAAGTTACTCTGACTGTTTAGCAACTGTTATAAGTTACTCTGACTGTTTAGCAACTGTTATAAGTTACTCTGACTGTTTAGCAACTGTTATAAGTTACTCTGACTGTTTAGCAACTGTTATAAGTTACTCTGACTGTTTAGCAACTGTTATAAGTTACTCTGACTGTTTAGCAACTGTTATAAGTTACTCTGACTGTTTAGCAAACTGTTATAAGTTACTCTGACTGTTTAGCAACTGTTATAAGTTACTCTGACTGTTTAGCAACTGTTATAAGTTACTCTGACTGTTTAGCAACTGTTATAAGTTACTCTGACTGTTTAGCAACTGTTATAAGTTACTCTGACTGTTTAGCAACTGTTATAAGTTACTCTGACTGTTTAGCAACTGTTATAAGTTACTCTGACTGTTTAGCAACTGTTATAAGTTACTCTGACTGTTTAGCAACTGTTATAAGTTACTCTGACTGTTTAGCAACTGTTATAAGTTACTCTGACTGTTTAGCAACTGTTATAAGTTACTCTGACTGTTTAGCAACTGTTATAAGTTACTCTGACTGTTTAGCAACTGTTATAAGTTACTCTGACTGTTTAGCAACTGTTATAAGTTACTCTGACTGTTTAGCAACTGTTATAAGTTACTCTGACTGTTTAGCAACTGTTATAAGTTACTCTGACTGCTGTTTGCCTTCCAACAAAAGCTTCAGATGTAATATCTTTGCAACAAGTAAGGGACACTTTTACACACCTTTAGGCGTAGTATTGGGCATACAGTGCTAGTGCAGGATATGTATTTTATACAACAATCGACACTCGGTGGGTGATATGAGCAAGATCACACTGGCCACCTTTACTTCCCAGGACTTTACCTGGTGTCTAATTAAGGCTAGGTCAAATAGGAACCAAGATCATGTTTGAAACAACTCCAGCTACATGCATATTTAAGCCCACAACCTTTGGATCTAGAGGTGAGCATATGGCTGCTACACCATAGCTACTCCCTTGCTACTTCTAAGTTCTTCCTTTTTTGTTGCATACACAATGTTCTATAAATACACACTATGAATTAAAACAGATCACACTTGTCAGCATCACACACCTTAATTGGAAGCCTTCATCCACACACAAGCTGAGGAAGTCTTCAGACTTGTCAATGGGTGAGAAATCCAAATAATCCTTAGAAAACTGATCCGCAGGCACAATGAGAAGGTAATCCTGAAAATATATAGTTTATGTACATGTAGTCTGGAATGAAAGTTAACACAGAGTTTCGATGGCAGAAATGAAATACTAACCAAACCTGTAGGTACTTAGTTCTCTCCAAACGACGAGGTTAAGAGTTAATAACTGACAGCACAGCTTTTAAAGCATTCTCATCCCCCATCTTCAGCAGTCAGCACAGAATTTCAGAGCATGTTGCCTATTCTATAAATGTTGAATGACTACCAGATCCTCTAGTCAGTCAAAGGTGGGGTATGGGTGCTCACAGTCCCTGCTGTAAGTAGACTATTTACGTGTCACAAGTCTCCTTGTCTGCATTCATTTTCAACTAGTTTCACGTTCGATTCCCCACTCCACTAGCCCGGCTGTTACACAAACTGGTGGTGCCATAGTTGGCTAAGAATTTGCGCATGGCCATTATGTTAACTACATGTGTCAATTCATCATCACTAAAATTAACTCAAACATCTGTTTATGGGGGCAGCTCTTTGAGTTTGCTTTCTAAACAGTTACAATCCCCTGCCAACGAGATCTGCCTTCACAGAACAAGAGATGGATAATGCTTAGAGATTCATTACTAGCCTAAGTTCATTCTGAAGACAGCGTCTAGTATTTAAACTACTATTTCCAAATTAACCAAAACCTCCACTTACCAGCCAAATCTGTCCTCCTTGTGTGCCATTGAAAACTGCTCTAACTTCAGGACCTGTTAACCTCAAGGTGCCCCCACCTGACTGGTCAAATGTGATGGTGCCTCTACAGCCAACTTGAGATGGGCAAAAGTGAGGATTGAACACTCCTGTCAAAGAAATAAACTCTCATTAGAATATTATAAGTCAATAAATTAATACATATGTGATGGCATCACCGTGCTTGCGTGGTGAAGGATAAGTATATCTGTTTATTGCCACGAATACCTAGATTGAATAATGAACTCCAAACCTAAATAATTTTCTTCAAATACTTTTACCAGTTGATACAAGTGATTTGTCATGCCATAAATTTATGAATTAGTTCAACTTTTCAATAAAATGATCTATTTTCATATGTTGTCATCAGATAATCACATATCTATTCTTTGTGCTGTACCCAGACTCTGTTTCCATTAATCTCAGGGTAATTTTTCTATTTAACTAGACAAGTTCACACTTTTGCCAAGAACATTGTCATGGTGAGGTGTCTTCTTCTTAGCATTCACCAGCTACAAACTGCGGTAAAAAGTTCTGATTTTGTGGTCTACTTCTGGGCTTTAGTCTTGTTCCAGAACTTGAATTCTGTATGCACATCCATTTGACAGATCTGTTTATCTGTATGCAGACTGCAGGTTTCCACATCTCTCAGGCAGAAGCACACCTACTTTTGAGGTAAGGCGTCTAAAAAGTATGCTAAAGGTGACCAAACAGTATGTTAAAAGTGTCTAAGAAAAGCCTTCATCATTAGGCTAAAGAAGACAAATGCTGTCTTACCTGATGAGACCTTTCCATCCACATGGACAGAGACAGGAATGGAGAGTCCAGGTTCTCCAGGCATGTAGTAGTGGACGATAAACACATACTGGCCTGGTTTAGTCACTCTACCAAACAGCTCTAAAGGCACCTGAGGGTAATATATTTAAACATAATGACAAGTTCTATTAGATGGATGTGTTTTTACTCCTTCTGTCTTTTCAAAGTCAATGCAGCAAGGACAAACAATGTGAATACAAAAAGAGCACCTTCTTTTATCAACGAGTGTATTAGATATTCGTTTGTAGATCTGAGAATCAGAAAAATCATACATAGCTGTCACCATCATCTTAATATATACATACATAAAGGTCCTTTGCAGAACACTGTTCCCATCTTGGCCAACCAGAAAGTCAATAGGTAGGTCTTTTACCAGTTCCTCTCCTTATGCATTTTCATGCATATATTTTGAATATTCTTGTCCACTTTCATACTGGTCAATCCCTGCCTGTTCATCCAGTAACGATGATCTTTGTTACTGTTCTTTCTATGTCAATTCAGCATTTATTGAGGCCTCAATATTTCAGTTTCTAAGATTTAATGAAGTTGACAAGCCATCCAGTATGTTTCAAATTTCTTTTCAGGGTATTCAAAGAATTCTTCTGCAACTGTACTTACAACAATACTGACAGAATATTATGTTAAGCAATTCTACTGATCCAAATCAGCATAAATTAAATACATTTATTAGCAATACTAATAAATATCAAACTTGCAAAACAAATGTTAGTAAACAAAATAAAATATAACTAAAGTGAGACTCATCAAAAGAACTTGAAAAAAAACTAGGAGGTGAAACAATGAATTACAAGTTGAACATAACGGATGTCTACAAGAATAAATAACGGTAACAATAAATAATAATTTACTGTGGAACAGAGAGATAAAGAAATACAGTCAGGATTGAAAATACAAAGACAAGAGAATTTAAATTAAGTTATATAAAAAAGAATCCAAAGAATTTTGAAAATACAATGAAGGAAAATATAATACGCTGGCTGAGTAGCAATACTCCATGGTAACTTAGTTAGTTAGCTAGTTAGTTAGTTATTCCTCTTGTGCCAAAGATGGCGCATAGGGCAGAGGTCATAGCTTTCCACGTCTGTCGGTTCTTTGCCACTTGATGTAGGTCTTGAGTGCGACTGAGACCTATGGTTGAGCTCTCCCTTGTGATGGTTCTACAGAGAGTTTCTTTTGGTCTTCCCTGTTTTCTTTTACCCTCTGGTGACCATATGAAGGTTTGGTGGGGAAGTCTCTGTATGTCCATTCTGAGTACGTGACCGATGTAATTCCAGCGACGCTTTCTAATAAAATCAGACACATATTATTGTTTTGTTTCCTGTCTTATAGATGTATTGGACCTAAAGTCCGACCAGTGAACATTCAATAGCTTTCGGAGGCATCTATTCTCGAAAGCGACTAGTTTCTTATCGATTGATACTGATGATTTCCAACTCTCACAACCATAAGTTAGCACTGGGATCACACAGGAATTGAAGACCTTAAGTTTCGTGTTGTTGCTGAGTGATCTTGACTTCCAAATGTTTGACAGTTTGTTAAAGGCACTTGATGCTAACGCGATTCAAGTCGTTAATTCTGATGTTGTATCTCCCGCAGAGGTTATCTTGCTCCCTAAGTATGTGAAGCTGGTGATTTTTTCAAGAACAATATCCTTTAGTTTGATGTCTTTCGACTCGTTGGTAAGATCGATGATTTTCGTTTTGGCTGCGTTGACCTGAAGGCCGATTTGGCTTGAAATATTCTGGAGGCGGTCCATTTTTTCCTGAGCTTCTAGATGTGTTGTGCTCAGGAGTGCTAGGTCGTCAGCAAAGTCAAGATCTTCGAGAACTTTGTCGACCCATTTGATGCCTAGATGTGTGTCCTGTGTGCATTTGCGCATGACCCAATCGAGTGCTATTCCGAAAAGCATTGGTGACAAGACACATCCTTGTTTCACGCCTGTTTCTACTGGGAACCAATCAGAGTTACCAGATTCCGTTCTAACAAGGCAGCGGGAATCGGTGTAGAAGGCCTTTATAATATTGACATATTTATCTTGGAAACCATAGATTGTGAGTAGCTTCCAGAGTGTAGGGCGGTGTATGCTGTCAAAGGCCTTCTGAAAATCAACAAAGTTGATGATGAGTTGGGATTGAAACTCTACTGACTCTTCTACGATGGTTCTGAGTGTGAATATATGGTCGATGCATGACCGATTCGGTCTGAATCCTGCTTGTTCTTCTCGGAGTCTTGCATCTATTGGCTTTTTTAGTCTCTGCATTAGCATGCTGCAGAACAGTTTTCCTGGTACGGAGAGTAGGGTGATACCACGCCAGTTGTTGCAGTCTGCTAAATCACCTTTTTTGGGCAGTTTGAATATAACACCTTCTTTCCACTGTTGCGGTGGGGATTCATTTAGCCAAACATCATTGAACAGCTGTAGCAAATATTGTAAGGTGTTTTCGTCTGCTGCCTTTAACATTTCAGCTGAGATTTCATCTGCGCCAGTAGCCTTATTCTTCTTTAGTTTTTTTATTGCTGATTTAAGTTCTAACATTGTGAATGGTTCACAGGTAGCATCTAGAGGTGGCATAGTTTCTTCTTCGTCTATATTGGGAACAGTGTCGGGTTGTGGCCTATTTAATATTTCTCTGAAATGTTCTGCCCATCGTTGCTTTTGTTGTTCTTCAGATAATAATAATTTACCCTGTTTGTCTTTGATGGGTGCGTTTGCTGTAGGTGTATGGTTGCACAGCTGTTTCATGATGTGGAATACAGCTTTATTGTTCCCAGTTCTGGCAGCCGTTTTAGCATCGCAAGCTAGGTTGTGTATGAAATCTTGTTTATCTTTTCGTGCACTATGTTTCACTTCTTTATCTAACAAGGTGTACCTTTGTTTGACTTCATGGTAACTTAGAGACTGAAAATGATTATTATATATAATGAAAATTTTCATTAACTCTGCTTCTGTCTGAGAGTGGTAGGGAGAAAGACAGAAAGAGAGACAGACAAACAGACAGAATATTAAACAGTATCAGGAAATATGTCCACCAGTAAAACTCTCACTTACAGCTTGTAAAACCTCGTGGGTCTCACATTCATCTATCACAGCCTCTTCCTGAGCTGGACAAAATGTCTTTTCCTGTTAACAAATCAATGCATGTAAATCAGGCACTGAAAAAATCCTGAACATGCATGTTCAAACATAAATACTAAACAATTTACTTTAAAAAAAAAAGTGTCACTGATGCTAATTATGATGAATAGTTCTTTTTCTTCACTTCTTTTTTTTTTAACGCTTCGAGTGTCAACGGATAAATAAGGTTCTGCTTCTTGCTCCTCTGGTCGCTCTGACCATAGAGTTTCTCTGATGTTATCTTTTCTTCTTGTTCTTGGTCTACCTTGTACTCTGCACCATTTTCCTCTTTTGGTGTATGCTTTGTATAGTAGAGCATTTCAAGGCACTTTCTCTAAATGGGCAAACCATTTGACTTTTTTTTGTGTGTGGTAAGTAATTTAGAATTGCTTCTGTGTCAATTGTTTCTCTTATGACCTTATTCCTGACTTTAGTCTCTTCTGGTCACTTCTGCAGCCAAATTATGATGAATATCATCTATAAAGTGTCAAATGTTTTTTTGTATTCTCTTTCTTTTATCTTTGTAGCAAACCTGGTAGTACTCTTCATATTCCAAGTCAATAAACCACAACATACATTTATTCCATGACATAGTCGAATACAAGGACCTAGATACATTCTGGAAAAAAAAATGTGTCTAGGCCTCCTTTGTCTTTGCATTCACCAGCTGTAAACTGGTGGAAAGTTCTGGTTGTTCGTCCACATCTGGACTGCAGTCCTGTTCCAGAACCTGAGTGTTGCATATGCATCCATTTGACAGATCTGACACATCTGTGTGCAGACTGTTGGTTCCTTGCCTCTCAGGCAGATGCACCCCGACTTCACAGGAAAATCCCAATTAGTCAACTTTTGGGTAGGCAGTGGGTCTATTTTAGTTTTCTCTATAATAGGGCCCCGGAACCCACATTGGAGGGGGGGGGGGAGGGAGGGGGTCTAAGCCTCAACACACAGACTGAAGTGTCTGCAACCTTAGATTTAAATACATAGATAAGGCACTATCCTTTGTCCTTACCCACATAGGACTGCAGGTTACACCTGGCAGATATGGGTGCCCTAATTATAACTTCTCTGGAGGTTAAACAAGGTATCAGGATTTGCCTTGTTGGTCTGCTGCCCAGAAATAATTTTTTTTATATAAATATCTCAGAATAGTAAGGTAAATCTTTAGGTAACATCCCAGAGGGACACACTGATTGATCGATTACTATCCTTTGATGTGGCTAATGGAAATTGCCCCCTATTGAATGCCAGTCTAAGAAGGAGTCCTATGCTCATCCCTCTTTTCAAATGATTCCCAGCTCCTATTCTTCAAGAGACTCCAAAGCCAGTCATGCAGGACCACCTAGTCAAACTCAGTGATCCTATGACCCTTTACATACAAATTCCTACCTAGTCACACTAAGTCATGTTCTATAAAATAATGAAGACTTCTTTATCTTCTTCTTTGAATTCACTGGCTGTAATTTCTGACAGAAAGTTCTGGTTCCTTCAATTCTGGATTATAGTTTTGCATACACATCCATTTTAAAGATCTGGCTAGTTTGTAGGCAGTCTAGTAGTTCACTTCCTGTCAGGCAGATGCAATCTGACTTTAGAGGAATCACCCCACCCCTAATGAGTTGACATTCCTGACAAGCTTGCTAGGAGGTTATGGGTCTATCTTTTCCTCCCCTCCCCCACCGGGGGGCCCTGGAACATGACAACTATATGGCCTTAAAAGTTTAGTTATTTTCCTTTCTGCTCAATATTTTTTTTACACTAATCTACATCATCATCTCAAAGCTAATCACAGTGTCTGTTAAGGTCGGGCCTTGGCTCAGTGCTCAAATTCCTATGTGCATTAACTATTTTTATGTGACATGATCTGTTTACACTTTCACCCACAGATCACTAAAAAAAAAAAGTCACAAACCCATGAGGATTCCTAAAATAATCCTTCAAAATACAAATAAAAACTATTTTACACAGGTTTCAAATAAATTTTAAAATTTAGTTATCTACATTCTGCAATTTTTTTCTTCTTCTAAATTTAGGGAGTAATCAGTCAATACCAACAGATGCATTAAATGGAATACATTAGCCATGGATAAAAAATTATATATATATATAGGGTAACCCATAGCAAGACCTCTATCACTGAGGCTACATGAAATTTTCACAACACAATGGCTTTAAAAATGACCCCCCACACCCATAAAAATGCTATTTTTAGTAAATGTCTTCATGTCTGGGCCTCGTAGAGACATTGCAGGTGTAAATACAACCAATGAAATATAACCACATTTTTCTAGAACAGATGACTGCAGAAATGCCAAAACAACAGCATCTATGGGACTGTGTCACAACTGGAAGTAACTAGATTTAGGCTTCTCGGGGCAAAAGGGCAAACTGCTCTATTTTACATGCACGAGAGCTGACTGTTTTTTCTAAGTCTGTCTACTTCGCTTTCTGTCACTGAAGACTGTCGCTAATTATGCTACCACTGGCTTACCTCTTAGGGTTATTGGGGGTGCTTGAAATTCTGTACTAAGGTACAAAATTGAAGTGCTGAGTTTGGACTATTCCACTGTTATAACTTCTCTTAGTACTCACCACAAGTTTAAGTGTATCATTCAAGTTGACCAGTCCTACAGCTGGGTCAAGAATGTTAGGTGGCAGTTCTTTGGCTAAAAAGTTTTCGTTTGGACTGTGCTCAAAGTCAATGCGCACAGTCCCTACTGGCCTTCCGTAAGAAGTCGGAACACATCTAAACAAGAGAAATAGAGTAGAAGCTCAAAATTAGTCACAAATAAAACAGTAAAATCTAAAAATGTTACTGCAAAATTATATCGCATTAGATTTCTTTGGTCACGGAATGCAAACAATATAGAGCACTTACTTTAAATTATTTGGAAGTGGCAGAGATGTGGTTTTATAGACAAATAATAAGAATACCCTGGACAAATTATGTTTTTTGTAAACAGTAATAAAGATGTCTTGAAAGAAACTGACTGCCCACATCAGAAGAAGGTAACCTACAATCTTTAGTCTTGCCTTGAGAAGCAGAAAACTGGAGTACATCATGTCAGTGGGAAAGTTGGAGGGGAAGAGAGGCAGAGTAAGATCGAGAGAGAAGATGCTGGACAGTTTGACAACTTGGCATGATAGATCTGCTATTTCAGAATTGACAGAATGTTCACGAGACAGAAGGTTGTGAATAGATATGACTACCAAAGCCATATGGACCATAAGAAGAAGGGTAACAGGTGGCACTACAAATCAAGGAGTACCTTTACTACTTTATATGTTAGAAGTAGACATGTAATAAAATATTCATATTTGATAATTTTACTAGGAACTGTTATTCTATTCCACTATTGGGAATTTGTCCAACTGTCAACACACCCTTAGTGGTCTCAGCAGTGATTTTTTTGTATTCTTTTGTTTAACTTGCTTATGGTTATTTTTTGCTAAGGACAACCTAGACATCAATTTTCAGTTCATGTCATCAATCTGACAATGCAGTAATCGCCTCAGTAGTGGATACTTCCTCTTCTTCTCTTTCTCCAGTTATCTCAGCGAAGTGTTTGGAAGAAATGTAAGAATCATTTGTGCGCTTTTTCTAATGTGCTATGTAAGTTGATTTTCATTTCTAAAGTTGTTCTTGTTGCTGCTGTTCCATCTTCTCCATGGTGTTGCTCTGTGCTCATGATATTTCTTCAAGGTAGCTAGCTCTCTGTGTCAGCTGGTGTATGGACAATCTGTTTCATTTGTTACTCTCTAGAGATATGCATGACTGGTGACAGTATGAGTCTTCTTCTAATTTGTTTATTTGTAATCTGATCTTTTCTTGTTACTCCAGCAGCTCTCTTAACACATTTAATCACTAGTATAGATACAGATCAATTTTTAGACTTCGGACTGGACACTGTGGTCTTCGAGCACACCTGTTCAGGATAGGCATAAAAGAATCTGCTGCCTGTGATTGTGGAGCAGAAGGACAGACCCCTGAGCACATACTGCAGTACTGCCCTTACCTCTCCCAGCAAAGACTGTGGATCTGGCCCAGGGGATCCACATTGCGAGAGAAGCTATGGCGGATCGGTGGTGACCGTAAACGCACAATCCTATTTGTGACCCAAATGGGACTCAATGTTTAGCATGACTGATGTAGAACGCAGAAGAAGAAGAAGAAGATCACAGCAATTCTGAGCTCCACTACTAAAAAGAGATTTCATGAAGTTAAAAACAAACAAATATCTATAATGTGCCAAGTGCACAAAACAAGTGAACCATCTGTCAGCCCTTAATGTAGGAAACATGAATATAACCACTGCCCCCCCCAACAAGCACATCGTAAAAGGTGACAAATTGGGGCCTTTTCTTCGAAGTCAGAGTGCATCTGCCTGATAGTCAAGGAACCTAACAGTCTGCATACAAATATACAGATCTGCAAAACTCAAGTTCTAAAACAACACCAAGCCCAGAAGTGGATGATCAACCCAAATTTTCTGCCTGAGTTTACAGCTGATGAACTTTAATAAATAAAATAAAGCCTGTGCCTGTGTCTGTGGCTTAGGCGTTGCAAACGTGCTCCATAATACTGGGGTGCCAGATTCGATTCCAGCTGTGGAGGGCTCGTTTTGCATTGGTATTGACAGTGGTACCAACAGCTGACCGTTCACAAAGCAATGGCAAACTACTGAATGTAAAAATTTTCCTAAGAAAAAGCACAACAGCCAAAAAATGCTGGGGCTGGTTCTGCAATGCCTGTAAAGGATACACAACTAACTTAAACTGCAATACAAAAGCACAGGTAAACATATGTTCCAATTATAATATATTTAAAAGTCCAATAATTCTTAGGAAAAAATATTGCACTTCATTTCAACTAGATGACGGCTCAAGAATCTGAAATTTCTTGATTCATATAAAACGAATGTTTTTCCTATATTATATTTCAATTGAAAGCACCAAAATTGAATGTGATACTTACTTTCCATTGACTTTGATACAAATGATTCTAGGCAGGATATAATCAGGATGCCATTGACCACGCGGAATGCCATACACAGAGTCCTGAAATGTGACAAAGACTTTACAGAAATGCATGCTGTTTTTTGTAACTCAGTATCATAAATTTATAACTTTTAGCTATTGTTCTTTCTTGCATGGAATGCATTTTGAACTCCTTATATCAGAAACAGATTGGAAAACCAACACTGGTTATAACTACGGAAAAGATTTTCTGAAACACTTGAACAGAACAGACCAAGTCACAGTTTTTCACTCATGTACTGGACACTGCAGACTCAATAAACACTCACATAAATTAGGTATGAGCCAAACAGCTCTCTGCCAGTGCCTTCGTGCTGAACAGACTCCAGAACATGTCCTGCAAGACTGTCCTCTCCTGGCGGAGCTGCGGAGCGACATATGGCAACACCCAGTAGAACTGCCAACTAAGCTTTGGGGAAACCTAAGAGACCTTGAAAAGACATCCCAGTTTATGACCCATAGTGGATTATGCATGACCAGAGATCGATGAAGAAGAAGAAGAAGAAGAACTCCTTATAGTGTTGCATTCATGATGGCTGGATTTTGCAGTAAAGTTTTTTTCTATGCTATGAGTGGACAGCCTCAAGCCAACCCTCCTTTGTCAACTGCAATGACATGTATAGGGCTGCTTATGTTACTGTCCTGTACTTGATTTAGAGGCAAGCACTGCCATTGTGACCATCACTATATTTTGAAAACAGTCCCACAAAACAAAACAAAAAGTAAGGTTATGTAAAGGATCCTTTATCATGCCTGCAGGTGTGCTGGGCATATTGGGCTAGTTAAATATTTTAGAGACCAATCGGCATCCAGTGGGTGATGTGGTCATCCATCTTTACTTCCCAGGACTTCTACCTGGTACTCATTTACGACTGAGTCGACCTGAGAGCCAATGTCACTTCTGAAACAAGTCTGGTATTATCACGACCTGAACCCACGACCTTCAGATCCACAGATGGGCATCTAGCTGCTACACGATCGTGGCTTCCCAAACAGGAGAGTCCCGACAATTAAATACAACAAAAATGAAAAGTTTAAAGTCTGAAATGAGTTGAAACATAAAGATGAGTTTTTACAGTGTCATTTTATGGCTATTAACGAGCAGAGAAGAACTGAAATGATGTGAAAATTACAGAATGATACAGGAAAGCGGACAAAAAAGATCTTTGACAGTATTTCTACATGACATGGAAAAGGTGCCAGCTCATAACATGATACATTTTACAAGAGGTCACCAGATGTGGGAAAGCACTTAATAAAGGTTTTATGTCAATTTAATTTTTAAAAATCTCGACCCCATGCCCTTCAAAGCGAGAGGCAAGTGGCTTGGCCACTTTACCACCGAGATCCCCTACTATCCCTCACTGGTCTCCACGGTGAAGTAGTCAAGCTGCTAGCCTCACGCTCTGAAGGTCAGGGGTTTATATCACGGCTGCGTTGTTCAGTTCATGAGTGCAATTTTTACAGAAATCTCATGGGGATCATCACTGGAGTTACGGAGGTCAGGCTTTGTACAATGCTCTCAGCAGGCTGTTAGCTGTTCTGCAGAGAGACTGAGCCATACATAATAAAACACAGAGCACTGAAGTTGATCTTCTCAATTTAAGGAAAATTTCTTACTTCTCTTAGCTGTCCAAGGAATTCTAAGGATTCTTCTGTAAAACCACATCTCCGAGGCCTCAAAATATTGTTCCGTCTGTTTATTAATTGTCCAGGATTCAAAGCCACATGTTAAAACTGGCTCTATATACCTTGCAAGAATTCTTTTCCTAACCTCCAATGACACGGATTTATGTAACACCTTCTTTCTGATGTTTGTGATAAGTTGTCTTCAAACCGCTATCTCTTTCAAAACATCTGGGTTGCTTTTTTCTGGCTGTCAAGGAACACAAATATACATTTGTGCAAAAATACATTTGTGACACATTATGTGGGGAAAATATGGGGATGACTGCAGTCAAGCTAATACAAGGAATTCCAGAGAAATTTGACTAAAAAGCTCAACAAAATGGGGAAGCAGAATAACGTGCACAAAACAACACAATGTAACGTTTCGACCAGGCAGCCTTTTTCAAACAAAAGTGAACTACACAAACGTAACAACGAGGAGAGGAGAGTATGTAGATCTCTAAGGGGTGACGTGAGCAACGTTTTGCCTGGTCGAAACGTTATGTTGTGTTGTTTTGTGCACATTTTTCTGCTTCCCCATTTTGTTGAGCTTTTTAGTTAAATTTCTCTGGAATTCTCTGACACATTATGTGCCAGATTGAGAATAAATGTGCACATGAGTTTGTGACAACAGAAATGTTGTGTGCGAGAGAAAGGAAAGAGAGAGAGGGGGAGAGAGAAGAGAGGGGCTGACTGAAAGTAAAAAAAGACAGGAATGATGTAATAATTGAATCACTTACAATGCCCACATCGATATCCTCTCCGTAACCTTCACCACTGATGTAAAGAGTTGCGTATCCAGATGTAATGTTGAAAACAGCTTCTGTACCATTTATACTTTTCAAAACTTGTCGACAAGTGCCACTGAAAAACACAAAAGATTTCTTTTTATTGGAGCAATAATGATCTGATTTCCAAATCTGAAGGGATGTCACTGAAAGCTTCTCATGTCAATTCCAGGAGCCCAATTTGGGGGGATGGGGGCGGGGAGGATTTGACTCACTGCCCCTTAAATCTTTCGGTACAGGAGGACAGCTAAACTAGTTTTACATTAATGTGTGATGTGTTTCCTGGTACTAAATGGTTAACAAGCATGCCATTTTAAAGGTTTGCTTAAAGTGGATCTAATGGACTGAAAAGTGCAGATATCGCAGCCCAGTTGTAAACCACAACATGCCTATGACCCCTTTAAGGGAAAATGCACAAGCAGAGGTACTGGTATTGAAAATTCATTCACAATAAGTTTAATGTTACGCATCATCTTGACAGTTTATAGTTAGAGATGATTTAAAGAAGAAAATAATGGTTTTCTCTCTCTCTCTTTTTGTTTCTATAACCCAAAACATGCTCCTCCTTTTTATTTGTCCTTTAAGATAAATACAAACACATACATTTTCTATTCATAGTAAAAAGACCATTGTTTTGAAAAGACAAATCATTGTGTGTTTTTTCTCTGTTGAAGAACATGTATAAGTTGAGCTGGAGTTTTATGTTTTTTAATGGCGGTGATATGTTTATTTTTCCCATCTACAGGCTGTATACAGCATAATGAGCTGGGTGACTAGCTTCACTCCTCACTGTCTTTTTCCTCCATACTTTTTCATTTCCCCATTTACCTAATCGAAGTGTTGGGGAAGATTTAAGGCACTTCTGCGTGCTCTAATGCATAAGCCGACTCTTGTTTCCTTAAGGTGGTCCTTGATGCTGTCATTATATATTTTGTGTGTCCCTCATGTTGCTCCACCATTAGATTTCTCCAGCATGGCTCTTTGTAGCAGCTGGTACAAAAGCTTTCTCAACAGATGGCTATACCCTCATTTGTTGCTCTTCAGTGAGCTGTATGACTAGTTTCAGCTCTAGTCTTCTTCTAATTTCTTCACTTGTTACTGTCATCTCTCTCTACTCGAGCAAGTCATCTAAGACAACTACTAGAAGTTTCAGAAAATTACCTGGTACATAATATTATGAAGGCTGAACCAAAAGTTGAACAGATCTTAACTTCGTTTACTACCGAATATAAATATATCCACAATGGAGGATGGCTGCAATGTATAATGCATTGTTTACATTGCCAGGTCCCAATCTCTTTCATTACACAACTCTAATAACACTGTCTGAAAGCCACTAGAACAGTATTGTCTAAGCTGCCCACTGTGGGAATCAAACCCTGGCATTGCATTGTGAACAATTCTGACTAACCTGCAAGCTACAGAGAGAACCGCACTTTAACCACATACATAAGTACAATCTATCTGTACCTGTAAGGGCAGCTATCCAGTGTGATCACATTGCTGCTCCTGCCTGTTGTGGTCACCACTTGTACATCCAGATTCTGGGACGTCTTGCCCGGGTTGTGATAGCTAAAGGTGATTAGATATTCACCAGGTCTTGGAACCAACAAATCAATCTGGAATGCTTTCTAGAGTTGGGGGGAAAAAAAATATGTTCAGGATTTTTTTAACAAAGAAGGAAAAAAAGAAGACACTTTTGAACAGTACTATCAAAGATACAGCAAATAAACTGTTTCCTTGCTATATTTTTTTTCATAATTATATATTTGTTCTACATCTCACACACTGGAGACTGCAGACTCAACAAATACTCATATAAATAAGCTATGAACCAAACAGATCTCTGCCAGTGTCTTGGTGCTCAACAGACCCCAAGACTGTCCTCTCTGGCAGAGCTGTGAAGCAGCGTATGGCCATAGACAATAGACCTGACAACCAAGCTTTAGAGAGATCTTGAGTTGTCATGCCAGTTTATGGTCCACAGTGGATTAGGCTCACGACCAGAGATCGGTGAAGACGAATGAAGAAGTTTCATATCTGGTTAAATAATGTAATCTGAATTATTAAAAGATTGATCTGAGCTTCCATCTGACAAGATACAGTTATATATGTTCTTATAGTCTATGCATTGGTAGTCATGTCTATAAACAAGCTTATTCTTATAGTCCATTTGGTGTGGCATTGGTAGTCATGTTTTTTCCACAACCTCCTGTCTACTTTCAATTATTACTGACACAGGTGATCTTCCTTCGGTGTCATGATCTCAATCTGTCCAGCATCTTCTCTCTTGTAAAAACTGATGTGTGCACTTAGAAAAATATGCCAGGCAATAAATTGTGCAATATTGTGTGTGGTCTCCTCATTATAATTCATAACAGGAAAACACTGCTTTCTAAAATGGAAAAACCAAACTTAATAAAAGCTTATTTTTTTAAAACGTCACCTGGCGTTTGGTGATATGGGCAAGACCTGAGGAGCCAAGGTTATTTGTCAGTTCAATATCAGGATGTAGATCTGCCTTCTGTCTGATGCCATCTACAATAACATAGCCATCTTTCCCGTGACCAATTGGGTAGCCCTCCAAGTCAGGGTAGGTAATCTGTACACAGCTAAAAATGACAAGATATTCATATATATTTATTACCAGGTTCATGTAAAGGTTTTAAACAGATTGTAAAATTAACTTGTCTGTTGGCATAAATCAGAAAGTGATCATAAGAAGAAGAATTAGTAAAATTAAAAGGAGACAGTCAAGACTTTAAGGCACATTTTGAGAAGATGTAAACTTTAGAACTTACTGACATTTGTCTAGAGCACATTCTGAGGACAGGTAAACTTTAGAACTTAAATGGACAGACAGAAAAATAGACATATAGAATGGAGAGAGAGAGACAGAGAGTCAGTCAAGAGAGAGAGAGGAGAGTGAGAAAAATAGAGAGAGAGAGAGAGAAGTCAAGAGAGAGAGAGAAAGAGGGAAAAGAGAGAGAGAGAGAGAGAGAGAGAGAGAGAGAGAGAGAGAGAGAGAGAGAGAGAGACAAAGAGTCAGTCAAGAGAGAGAGAGGAAAGAGAGAAAAATATAGAGAGAGAGAGAGAGAGAGAGAGAGAGAAAGAGGGAAGAGAGAGAGAGAGAGAGAGAGAGAGAGAGAGAGAGAGAGAGAGAGAGAGAGAGAGAGAGAGAGAGAGAGAGAGAGAGAGAGAGAGAGAGAGAGAAAGAGAGAGAGAACTGTTGCTAAAGCATACTGTAGAAGAAGATTTACTGAATACTAAAGTGGCCAACACATGAACTTACGGGCCTGGATCTCCAGTAGCCAGACAAGGATTGGGCACTTTCACCTGTAGGTTACTGGGTTCATAGTAGCCTTGTGGAATCAGTGCAAAGAAATCCTGGAATGTGCCAAGTCATTGAAGATGAAAAAAACAAGCACCACACACAATTTCTCACGTATTTCTCATAATTTCAGTGTGTCACTATGTATGTATATATGTGAGTGCATTTTTATTTTATATTTTTTAATATATTTTTTAAAATTTATTAAAATTTTACTGGATAATGGTGTGCTTTTTTATATTCAACTCCTTAGGGACTTTTACTTAAGCAATATATAGGGTGTTTGTAAAGTTTCACCACATTTTGTATGCAGAATCAATTTAAAAAATATATATATATATAATATATATATATATATAGGTATATATAAATATATATATAAGTATATGACACTGCTAAAAAGTAATTAAATGAGTTTTAATAGACAGTCTACTGCTGTTTTGGGAAAGCTGGAAAAGTACCAATGAAATATCCATTACAACAGGTGTAGGAAATTTATACTACAGGCTTCAAGACATGATTGTAAACGTCTCTTCATATTGTCAAATACCAGTCTTTTGTTATTTCTTGAACGATAATTCTGACTGCTTCTTTGAGGTCCTCAACTGTGTGTACATTATTTTTATAAACATTTCCTGTCAAGAAACCCCATAGATTAGTGTTTCCCAAACTTTTCTTGGTCGCTGCACCCTTTTTTTCAATTAAAATTCCCCCCCGGCGCCCTAACCAAAGTAAAAGTATGACTTTTCGTGTCTTGGTTAAATTAATTATGAAGCTTTTACAATATTTTGCTGCGCCCCTGTGAAGAGGTCGCGGCTACCCGGGATGCCACAGCACACAATTTAGGAATCACTGCCATAGATAATAATCAAATGGGGTTACATCAGGAGAAAGAGAAGGCCTAAAACCATGTGACATTACGTGATTTGTTCAACTGCAAACAAACAATATGTCTGAAGGTTGACAATACCATTCTGTTTTGAGTGTAAAAGAATAACTTCAGCAGATGACAGCCATTCACTGCATACTGCTTCATGATCGACTGTGCAGCAAAATTTTTGATGACATCATGTGCTTCATTTTTCAAATTTGTTCTAAATACAAAGTGTAGTGAGACTTTACAAACACCCTGTACAATATAAGTCTATAATAACCAGACACCAGATTTACAATATCTACAATGTCACTTACAATATAAGTCTAGCATTATGTGCCCAATACGCCACTGGCATGAAAAGGATCTTTAACATACAAACAAGTCATTCTATATCTAAAAAGACAAGGTTATCCACCTTATTCATGATTTTAGAAAAGATCGAAAACAAAACTTCTCCAGATCTTTTATTTCATATAATTCCACATATATAATCATTATCATCGCCATCCTGTTCTACTATTTATGTAGGGCTCGCAGTGTACTACCTCTCCACTCCGTACTATCTTGCGCAATATTTTCAATATCATGGCTGGAATCCAGTCAAGCACCTTGGTCTCTCTTATCAGTGTTCATCTCAGTGTTTCTAGATGTCCTTTACTTTCTCAAAACTGGCTCTCTGCTTTGCTGTAAATAAGAGACTCTATGTGGAAACTTTTATACAAAACAGTTTTAAACAATTACTGTTCAATCAACATAGAAATATAAAAGCAAATGAGAACTTACCAAAAAGACGTTGTCAGGAACGACAGTGTGAATGGTCCACTTGCCGGGGTTCAAAACAAAGTAATTACCGCTGTCACTAGTCACCGAGGTAAACTTTGGGTCCCTTGAAGGAGTAAATACCAGTTGTCCATTCTAGCAAATAAAAAATTAAAAATTTTTGTGAACATACGTTTTGTAGACATTCTCCAACTAATGGATTATTCATACATGTGTATAAGTGTAAGTTCTAAGAAAGTAAAACTGGTTGACATCTTACTGTCTTCCAAAAAGGTTTCTTTTTCTTTTTAGTGTTCATTGGCAGTAAAACTCTGGCAAAAAGTCCTGGTTGTTCATCCACTTCTGGACATTGGTCTAATTCCAGGACTTGGAGATAGATTAAACCCCCCAAAATGAATTTGATTATATCTGCTGGAAACAATGCTTTCTCAAAAATCATAAAGTATTCAAGCTGCTGTTTTCATTCTAGTTCACTATGTTACGGTGTTATTTTCCTATGTGTGTGCCAAGTTGGAGACTTCGTCATAACTTTTTGAGACACTGTTGGTTACGGTTTTAAAATTTCAAAAAAAAGTTTGGGAGAAAATCGCAACACTCCCTCCCCTTTCCCCCCAAATTTCCTGGCTATACTGGTTTTCACAATAATCCATTGCCTATTCAGCTTCTGCTGTAAATGCATCATCTTCAGGATATTTCCTTAGCTGTCTGAATAATTTATCTTATTTTTATCTTCTTATCCAATTTATTACCCTTTTCAGCTGTTTGATCAAATCTACGAAATGTGGAAATACTGTGTCACAGTTTAGCCATACCTAGGTCCCCTTCATTATATAAATTGGTAAGAAAAATTATTACCACATGTTGATAAATAACTGAGTTATGACAGTTTGAATATTTTTCCTATATAATTCTGTAATTAAACAGATACTGTAACAATTTTTAAAACATTGATAATAATTACTTTCAGATTGAATTTTGCAACAGGACATACATTCCCATGTTGAGAAATGAACACACTTTCGTGCAGTGTGAACAAGTGAAATTCCACAATTTTGCAACAAAAAAAAAAAACAGTAAATAGTAGTAGGAGTACTTTTACCTCAACCATGACATCACACACTGATAAACACCCATGACACAAAGTGCCACCATGTAGATGAGGATCACCTGTGGAGAGGTCCCAGCCATTAGACCATATTTATGGCTGGGCTATATTGAGGCTCCATGGCAAGAGGCAGAGTAGGGCTTCAAAAAACAACAAATTGCATTCCACAAGGGGATGACTGGGTTTTAGGTTTAAAAAAAAAGTCAGTTTGGGGGTTTAAATTGTCTTTGAGAGTTGTATGCCCTTTCACTTCACAAATCTGGCTGATCCATGTGTTGACTGCTGGTTCCTTATCTCTCAGGCAGATGTAATTTCACTTTGAAGGTAATGTGTGTCTCCAATTTAACAATTCTGAGAGTGAAATGATTATGAATGGTTCAGTATTTTACCTGCACAATGTCTGTTGGTGTTTCTGGAGTAAGAGTTACAGATCCTTTCACTGGGTTGTCTTCCCTGTTGACGTACCGGTAAATAACCTGGTACAGACTTGGCAGGCGGATGTCCACATCAAGGATTACTTCAGGCTGTGAGAAATAAAATTAAAATTATTGTATCTCTATTTGTTCCCAGGACAATATTACTAACAGGTGGGCCGGTCGATAAGGGTTCCCCTCCAGGATTTATCTCCTATAGCATTATCACCTCAAGTATGAGAGTCATACAGGAGCAACAGCCAGAAACCCTGTTTAACTAACAGGACACCCCTAGTGAAAACAAAACTGCAAGAAATAAGGAAAGAATACTGAATGGTTAAATGTCATTGAAAAAGAAAAAGCCTTGCTTTACTTCCTGTATTTACCACTTTTTGTTGGTGTAGGACAGAAAAAGAAAAAGAAAAAAGAGGGGGGGGAGGAGGGGGCATTGCTGGAGCTGAGAATTTAAGGCTGCATCCATAGTGCAGTCGCTGTGAACTGTACAGGTAGAGTTTTTTTAATATTCTTGCCAACACAATTTTTCATCACCTTATCAAGGGTTCAAAGCAGGTCACCTATGTGACAACGCAGTGTTCCAGGAACTGTAATTGAAACAAATTAATGATGAGGACACAGGGTGCAACTCAAAGATCACGCTGCAGAAAGATGGAAACATGGTCACAGGAAAAGAGGCAGCCAACCTATTTGCGGACACTTTTGCTTTAGATAACGACATTGAAATCAGTTCAGAGAAAATACACGAAACTCAAGAAAATCCACAATTTAGAAGTCAAAAAGAAATAACATCAGAGGCGCTAGAGGTGCCAATTACACTTAATGAACTGGAGTTGGCCATTTCAAAGCTGAAAATGTGGAAGTCACCAGGAGCAGATGGTATATCAAACAAAATGATCAGAAACTTAGGAACAGTAGCCAAAACAAAGCTTTTACAGATATTTAATGCTTGCTTGACAACAGGAAATGTTCCACAGACCTGGAGAGAGGCAATTATGATACCCCTCATAAAGCCTGGGAAAGACAGTTCCAATGCCTCAAACTACAGACCGATCAGCCTCACAAGCTGTCTCTGTAAAACAATGGAGCGCATCACCAACCTCAGACTACAGTGGTACATTGAAAGTGAAAACATCATTACCACAGCAGGCGGGCTTTAGAAAGTTCTATTCTACGGAAGACCAGACAACATACCTCTCCCAAGAAATAGAGGATGCTTTTCAAGATAAGAAACTGGTACTCGGGGCATGGATAGATTTAAGGAAAGCTTTTGAAAAGGTTTGGAAGGAGGGGCTTTTGAAGAAATTGAGAAACTATAAAATAAATGGAAAAATGTACAATTGGATTAAAGCATATCTACATAACAGAAGAGCCCGGGTACAGGTAGATGGTTTTAAAAATAAAAAAAGTTCTACTGCGACAAGGCGTCCCTCAAGGTGGTGTCCTGTCGCCCACACTTTTCCTCTTATTCCTCAACGACCTGGTTGCTGAGATAATAAAATTGAATCAAAATGGCAATGTATGCCGACGACCTGGTACTGTGGTGCACCAATGAACATGCAACAATAGCCACAAAAACACTACAGCAGGCTACAAATGCAATTGAGGCATGGGCCAATAGATGGTGTGTCAGCATCAACACAGACAAAAGTAGCACCACACTCTTCACCCTCTCCCCAAAGCAAAAAGCGGGCATCATCAAAATAAACGGAATACCCATAAGAGGATAAAGAGCCCACATACCTAGGAGTCACATTTGATGACAGGTTGACATGGAGAAAACATATCAACAAGGTAGCAACCAAAGACAGGAGGAAGACAGCAATACTAAGAAAACTAAGTGGAACCACATGGGGAGCCGATAGGAAAATACTCAATAAAGTATACAAGCAGAGCATACTTCCACACTTGGAATATGGGTCAACTGCATGGTGTTCAGCATCTAGTACCACATTAAAGGAGTTTTTCCAAAGTGAAAAATCAAGCGCTCAGAGTCATCACAGAAGGGATGAAATCAACCCCCATTTTGAAATGGAGAAAGCTGGGAAAACACAGGCACTGAGAAAACGCAGAGATACAAAGTTGCAAATGCAAGTTCCTCAGTATGCCAGATCACCCGATGGAAAATAGATTTAAGAACCTAGCCTTGGGACGGTTAAAAAGAAGCAGCTTTATACACCAAGCAAAAAGAATATATATAAACAAACTCCTGACCTTCCAGAAATTGGTTGCCCACTCAAAAGTATTCAGGAACAAACCCCATGGAGAGAAAAATGCAAACTAACAGTACAAATCCAGACAAATGTGAAAGGGATATTTGACAAGAAAGAGCAAGATAGTGTACAACGCAGAATGGTCACCCTCAGTTATATTGATGAAGAATACCTACAAGAACAATGGGTCAGAGTCTATACAGATGGGTCTGCAGAAAGTGCAGTTAGAAATGGTGGTGCTGGAGTGTACATCGAATTCCCAGATGGTACTAGGGATAAGTCCAGCGTACCAACCGGAAAGTACTGCCATAACTATGATGCAGAAACTCAGGCTATCAGGATAGCAACAGAGCAACTGCTAAATACCAATCTTGGCTCCCAGTATGTAGTAATGCTGACAGATGCTAAATCAGTACTTGAAGCACTCCAGTCTAAGAAACTACCAGAATTGCAAACACTGCTGACACAACTCAGCCTTCAGCGAAGAGTCGTAATGCAGTGGATAGTGTCTTATTGTGGGGTACCTGGAAATGAGAAAGCTGATCAACTGGCAGGGGAAGGTGCGACAAAAGAGCAGCCGGATGTACCAGTCACATACCACCAAAAGAAAAGAATCATTAAATCGATCAGGAAACCACCAGCCCCAGCACAAGATGACTATTTTTTTATGGACAGACCAGAACAAGTCATTATTCTCCACCTCAGAACAGGGCACAACGGATTACGTTACCACAAAATTCGAGATAGGTGTATCAGCCATGTGCACCTGTGGAAATATGCCCCAGACAGCAGAGCATGTACTCCTGGACTGCACCGAATTTGACACATTAAGGCAAACCTTTTGGCCAGAAAGAACAACAGTGGAACATAAACTCTATGGACCACTGAATGAACTAACAACGACAGTGAAATTTATACAAGAGACAAAACTGCTGATATAGACAACTTATTTCAGGCGAACGAAAGAAGAAGAAGAACTGTAATAGTAACAGAATTGTAAGGTTTTCATGCTAGCTGCAGACCAGTTCCGCTGTACTGCTTTGCACTTATACTCTCCCACTTTGCTTCCACGTCACATTTTCACATGATAATGTGCTGACGGGCAGACGTTTTCCATAAAGTGGTATTTTCTATAACCTCATAATGAAAAATGTACTGCAACTGACTAATTTATAACATGTATTCACTGTGCATTTAAATTATTTTGAATAGGTAATATTTCATGAAATCAAAAACAATTGAATACAGAGATACAAAAGAGATAAGAACGGAAAAGAAGTTGCTAACAAAGAAAAATAGGAAAAGTTAAATATTTCAACTATATGGAAAGATATACCACTCATATATACAAGTGATATATTAAACACTCAGTGACACAAAGTACAACCATTCAGATGAGAATCTCCTGGGTACACATCCCAGAAAACCCTGTTCAACCATTAGGTTATATTAGGGCCCCCGACTACAGCCTGGGTGGGGCTTTAACATATTAAATTTAAAAAAATACGTCCCATACTGGAGCAGACTAAAACACATAAAACCATCTGAAAGCTTATATAAAAAAAGTAGTGAGACAAAAGACTCATCATCAAGTAGCAGGTCCTTTGCAGAACGTTGCTCTCATCTCGGTCTGCATAAAAGAAACTCGGTCTTTCGCCAGCTCTACTGCCTCATGTACTATCATACTCAAGGAGTCACTTATATCCTGTGCCCATCTTCGTGTTGGTCGGCCCCTGCCCCTCCTTGATGGTACCATGCCTTCTGCTATAATTTTTTCTAATCCGTTGTGGCATTTGATATGACCACAATATTTCAGCTTCCAGCAAAAAAATTGCTGTGAGAAAGGATGCTGTTTATTAGCCAATCTTCCTTGATGTTCAGATCTTTTAAGATGTCAATATTTCTCCTCTTCTTTGTCCAAGACATTCTGAGAGACAAAAGACTAAACAATTAAATTATATTTTTGTTTTGTTTCATGTGTCTTAATATCAGTTACTATTTATTAATCATGATCAATAACACACATACTTGAATTTTGGTGAGAATGGCATAACCTCTCCATGAGAACTGTGGGAAGATGCGCTCATCATAACCATAGCGAATCCTAGCACCCTCCGGCGTCACACCATCTTCAACTTCAAATTTGTACTGGTGCAGTGTTGGGACAAAGTGTCCGGATATTGGTCTGTGGAAGATGAGATCTCAATTGACATTTTAAAACATTCTAGCACTGGAGGTTGTTTCCTTTAACAGCAAAATATGTTGCATTTTTATTCTTCTTTTGCCTTGTCTTGTCTTGTCCACAATTGCCTCACAGCGTAGTGGGGAGTCGCAGTTTTCTATCCTGGGCCAGGTGTGTTGCATGTGTTGTTGTTAGTCCGTGTTGCCTCAGGATCTCTGATATATTGTCTATCCATCGTACTCTCGGTCTGCCTCTTGCTCTAGGGCAGTAGTGTTGTTCGTTGTATGCTCGTAGAGGCAGTTGGTCGGTTTGCATTTGCATCAAGTGGCCAAACCACTCGATTTGTTGCTTCTTTATGTATTGCAGGCATGGTGTGGTTCCTACAATTGATCTAATGTTCTCGTTTCGAACTCTGTCTCTCCTTGTGACATTGGCAGCCTTACGTAAGCATCTTCTTTTGCATTCACCCTTAAAAGGACGTCTGGCACACTGTGTTGGTGTTTACAGCTAGGCTCAGATATCTGTGCCTTTTGGCTCAACAGATCGGATTTTCAACAAACCTTTCACAACAAAGGCCCCCCCCCCTTCCCAAACCATTGGTGTCCTGCAAGCCACAGGGAAATGTTATTTCAAAATACATACCAGAATACTAGTGGTCAAATGTTTGTATCAGCAGTGAGTCTGATTTTTAAATCTGATGAAATCCCAGGCTGACCCAGCTCTCTTCTTCTTCTTAGTTCTTCTTCTTCTTCTTAGTTCTTCTTCTTCTTCTTAGTTCTTCTTCTTAGTTCTTCTTCTTCTTCTTAGTTGTTCTTCTTCTTCTTAGTTCTTCTTCTTCTTAGTTCTTCTTCTTCTTCTTAGTTCTTCTTCTTCTTCTTCTTAGTTCTTCTTCTTAGTTCTTCTTCTTCTTCTTAGCGCTTATTTCTGTAAAAACTCTGGGTAAAAGTTTTGGTTGTTTGTCCACTCCTGGACTTTGACCTTGATCCAGAGCTTAGGTTTTGGTGCACGTCCATTTTACAGATCTGGCTTAATTGTTTGCAGACTATTGGTTCCTTGCCTCTCAGGCAGATGCACTGACTTTAAAGGAAGCCCTCTTAATTATTCTCCTACAATATACTTTTTAGGGAGGCAGTTACAACACTGGGGCTAGCATCATATACCCATTAACCTGAAGCATGGAAATAGGTCATCTACTTTACCTAAAGGAGATCAAAAGAAACCCATGCCACTGTGCGTTATGTGAGAGAGCAAACATCTATATAACCATTGCTTTAAAAAAATAACAAAAACAAAACAAAAAGCCCCCCAAAAATCTAAAATACATAGTATTTTTGTTATTAAAACTGCAAACAACAAAAGAGTTTAATGGGATAGACCCCAAGGCAGACCAAGAAGGTAGTGGAAAGATAATTTACAGACCTACCAACCCTTGGAGTCACTAACTGGAAAGAGAAAACCAGTTAGAGAGGGGAATGATGGTGGGTGATTTCTGCAGTAACAACCTCAAAGGCTTTAAACACTGAAAAAGAGGATGATAAAAATGTACATAAGCCTTTAAAATACATACGTGTCACATCGTAATCCTGTGATTCTCTGCTTGCAAACACACTGACCAGTGACCTTGTCACAGGTCATTCTCAGAGAGCCACCTCGATCACAGTTACAATCTGGGCAAAAGAAAAATACAGAAAATAAATTGTATAGTTCTATGAAGTCTACAGTCTTAGACAATATATAAATTTAAAAATGTTATAAAATCCACAGCCTCAAACAATAACAGGTGCTTTATCTCAGTTAAAACATAAAAGGACATCAACATTGTTTCCTGACATAAAGAAATTCTTCTTTTTAGTGTTCACCAGCTGCTGAATGTTCTGCTTGTTCGTCTACTTCTAGATTGGCCTTGTTAACTGAACTTGAATTTTGCATGCGCATCCCATTTACAGATCTGCTTATTTGTATGCAGACTGTTGGTTCCTCTCCGCTCAGGTAGATACACTCTTGACTTCAGAGAAAAATCCCCAATCAGTTGCCTTTTATGACATGCTAGACACCCCCCAGTGGCCTCAGAACCCTTATGGGGAATCATCATCATGTAGCAGGTCCTTTGCGGAACGTCGCTCTCATCATGGTCTGCCTGAAAGAAACTCGGTCTCTTGCCAGCTCTCTCGCCTCATGTACTTCCATACTCAAGGAGTCATTTATATCCTGTGCCCATCTTCGTGTTGGACGGCCCCTGCCCCTCCCTCCTTTCTGGTACCATGCCTTCAGCTATTATTTTTTCCAATCCGTCGTGGCGCTTGATATGACCAAAATATTTCAGCTTGCGGGGAATACAGAAATTAAATATGGTATGCTATACCACTCCAGTTTTGTTCTTTACTGCGTAACAGAAACTCAGGAGTTAATACGTCATCATGAAGTGAGCTGCCACATAAACATAGGCAGTCATATATTACCATCTAATACTAGCACCAGAATCACGGATAAGGTGAGTGCTCATCTTGTCCCCCATCCATATGACCAAGACATCCAGGTACTTAACCTTTGCCTTAGATTCGCTATTTTCTTACCAACCTTGCCAGTTGTAACCAAGTCCTAGCGGAAGTGGTGTAAGTTATGAAACCATGACTATTTTGAACATGCACAGTGCCTAACAGCCTTTCTGAGAAAATTAGACATCTGATTCACTATCCCAGGATAAAGGAGGTGCATAACTTCCTTTTTATTATTTCTGTAAAAATCCAATTAATACTCAAAGATGATTCAGGTTAGCTTTGACCAAAGGTAATTCTGTTTCTAATTATATATGGCAAGAAAAATTTAGTTCTTCTTCTTATTCTTCTCCTATCGCTCGCTTGAAATAGATTATCTATATTTGCAATGTTGTCTCTAGTATGAACTTTACAGTTGTAATTCAATCAGCAACCCATAAAGTTTAGCCTGCACCAGTGTTTCAGAAGTATACATAGCTTTCGAAGTGGTTTTAGGTCATGAAGCTTGCAATTGCTAAAATTTCAAAAGAAATAATGTCTTTAACTGTTATAATTAGTGAAATGATAAAAACCGACAACTTACAGTCACATCCATAAGAGTTGCTCTCTTGAAGATTGTAGAAGCCATCCAGGCAACGATTACAGTCTTGTCCACCGACATTAGGTTTACAAACACATGGCCAGTTTGCATATCACATCTGTTTACACCACCCAGCGTTCCTGCCTTGAAACATTCACATTCTGAAAAACAGTTATGTGAGTTAGAAAAATTATCTTTGCATCCTTAAAAATGAATAGAAAATACAGGTCAGTTAAATATCTCTATGAATTCTGAAAGATGAATATAACCTATGTCACAAAAATGTATCTTTGCATTCTTAAAAAATAAACATAAAATATGAAAAAAATGCAACTTTGCATTCGGAATAATGAAAAAAAAAATATATATAGTCACATAGCCCCATCTCCCTAAGAAATCCACTGTTGCTAAATTTGCAGGTTTTTGATGACACTGAGTCTTTGGGCAGTGGCAACTATGCCTGTGTAACAGCGTTGGTACTTGCTGTAACTATACAGTGTGGAAACATGATATGTATGACTATTTATATTTGAAAAAAAAATCTTTTCATAGATATTATTAAGGGTGGGGGAGAAAACAGAATCAAAACATTTTTGTAAAGTCATTATTGCATAATAATAATCTCATATGACATCAATTTGCTTTCTGTTGCTAAATCAACAAAACCATGTTTACCATATCAAAGGAAAGCAGTTAATTCTTTGCTCAGATTGTATTTAGATATCGATTTCCTGACTTAATAAATCTTTTTTTTGTGTGTCAGTGTGCATGAAAATAATAATAATAATAATAATTAATATGAATTATTTTAATGACGTGGTGGCTCCCTTTTATTTAGTTATTAATTCATTACTTAAACACATTTTTTTGGGTATGAAAATAATAAAATACTAATAAAAATTAATATGAATTATTTTAGTGACTTGATGGCATGATGCAGCTGTGGAGTTCACACTTGCCTAACTGCTCAGTGGTCTAGGAGTTACACCCTCTGGATGTTTTGTTAAAAACTGCCCAACTCAAAATTTCTTCTGCCTTTTCTTCTCCCCCTCTAGTTTCTTAGGACAGAATTTCAGAGAATTATAAGGATGTTTTTCTTTTCAAATTTTGAAAAGGTATTTTTTTTTTAATGGGATGATATGGGTAAATGTCTCTTTGATTTGTAAATGATAAACATAACATTTTGAGTCCCAAAAAAGTATCACTGCATTCTGAAAAATGAACATAACTTAGGAATCACAAACATGAATCTTTGCTAACAGATGAGCATGAGTTATTTTGTTCTATTTTGTTTTTATTTTTAATATGAGCATTTGACACTACAGTGACGTTTTAATTCAAATGCTGGATGTCAAGACAACAAGAGCAAGCCCAGGATTCTCTTTTCAAACTGATGAGGTTATGTTAGGACTCCATGCAAGATGACAATAAGAGATGTATAAAATACTCTCTCTCTCTCTCTCACTCCCCCCCCCCCACCCCCACCTTTCACATACACACAAAATCTACATTCTTAAAGACAAAATAAAACTCATGTCATTTACCTTCACATCCCAGGGGGTTGTTTCTGTTCAGGTTCCAGAAGCCAGGTTTGCAGATATCACAGATCTTGCCCATGACTCTTTCCTTACATTCACAGAGCCTGCCACTAGTGACAGTACCACATCCTCCAAGTGGATATCCGGGAACCTCCTCAGCACCATCAGGATTACAGTTGCACACTGTCCCAGGGAAGTAACAGACATACATTAATATCAACAGACAATCATGATTTACCCTTTATGACTAGTTTTAACATTATAAATGTGGTAAAGCATACTTTGTTTCCTCGGTACTAAGTCAATTGCAGAATGCTGTGGGATGTTTGTCTCACGGTATGCAAGTAGTAGTAGTAGATTTTTACCACAAGCGATAAACACCCGGTGACACAAAGTGCCACCATGTGTGTGAGGATCACCCGTGGAGAGGTCCCAGAAACCGCGTTCAGTCATTAGAACATATTTATGGTCAGGCTAAATTGCGGCCCCTGGCAAGAGCCACGGTGGGGCTTCACCAAAATCATGACAAATTGCATCTCACAAGAAGATTTGATGATGGGGTATGAAAGTCATTATTCTTAAGTACTACTGTGACTGACACTTTGTGATAAACAATTGACACCTTTTTAGACTAAATAACACCACATCTGTCTTCTAATATTCAAAGTAAAGTGTTTCTGAAAACTGCAAACTTGTTTGAATACTGCCACTGCTACATTTCACTCTTTCTTTGGTCAAAAACTGTGTTCCATCTGCTGTTTTACACCAAACCTGATCTCTTCATCCACCAATGTCTTTATGACTTCTGTAGTTTTTGCTTAGGGCCCTTTATCGACAAATGTATGTGCCGTGTACAATACAACTGGGCGATGATCTGTATCTAAATGACTAGGTATCACTTTACTGTACTTTATTTGTCTTCCCGCTGCACATTTGGTTTCTTGGTGACTCCATCATCATCATCAGGTGCCTTGCCGACTGGCGTGGGTGATCATGCCTCTCCATAATCTGCGATCTCCTGCAGCATGTATCAGTCCGTGTGCCGACACACCTCTATGCCATGCAACAAGACTGTCAAGCATCTTCTCTCGTTGTCTTCCTCTACCTCTCCTTCCACATATCTTTCCAGTGGTCACAACATGTTCTATTTTCTATCTTCTCATAACATGGTCGAAAAATGATGACTGTCTCCTTCTGATGTCTGTGATAAGTTGTCTTCAGGCTCCCGCCTCTTTCAAACCTCTTGGTTGCTCTTTTTGGCTGTCCAAGGTATTCTAAGCATTCTTCTGTAAAACCATATCTCCGCGGCCCCCAGAAATTGTTTGGCCTGCCTAACGATTGTCCAGGATTCACAGCCATATGTTAAAACTGGATGTATGTAGCAACCAAGAATTCTTTTTCTAACTCTCAATGACAAGGATATATTGCACTAGATGTTTTTCATTTTATAAAATGCAGTTTTTGCCTGTCCTATTCTATTTCTTATCTCAGTTATGCATCTTCCATTTGATGTTATCCATGTGCCCAGATACTTAAATTTCTGTACTTGTCCTAAAATAACACCATCAACTTTTATTACACACTTAGGAATAATTCATTTCTTTTATACCACCATTACTTCTGTCTTCCCATTATTCAAACTGAGGCCCATTCTTCCACTTTCTAACACCACAATGTCTATCATTTCCTGTAGTTCTTTTTGACTTGTTGCTATCAAGACTGTGTCATCAGCATAACGTAAATTGTTTATATTGTGCCCACCAACCACAATTACAGGCATACCAATTAAAGCTCTCATTATATATTCACTGTATATTGAAAACAAATTGGTGACTCCAAGTGTTAGTAATCAGCCTGTAAAAGATCTCTCTACATAATCTTCTTGGTCTGCCTCATGTCCTACTCCAAATGAACTCTTCTGTGTATTTTATCTTGTTACCTGCATTATCTCTAAATGCTTCAATCACCCAATCATTGGCCTAGCAAACAAATCAAATCTCCGCCTAGGAACTTAAAATATACTCATAATGTTAATAGACTGCAGGCATTTGTGGGCCCAAACCCAAATAGAGGATACAGTGCAGAAAAAAAAGAAGAAAGCTATGTGTATCATCAGAGATATGACTAAACGCATGTAAGTAAAGTAAAGATCCCTTTCCATGCCTTTAGGCGTATCGGGCACATGGGAAGAGCGCCCATATTTTTACAGACCATCACCACTCGGTGGGTAATGTGGTCAGCATTACGTACCAAAGTAAAATCTAATTATGAAGCTATATAGTGATCTCAAGGATAAATAATTGTAAAATGAATACTTTGTTTTTTAAAAACAAATTTTGCATTATGAACATCACATGATATTGCCTGAATATTTTCAACTTACTGCTTTTCTTACTTTAAGAAATATGACAAAACTTTTTAAATTTACAACCAAAAAAAAAACAAAAAAATCTCCTAAGATTTAAGCATTTTAATATATCTAGTAACATAATAACACCTCACCTTCACACATGGGATAGTTGTAGAAGTTCTCCCCACATTTCTCACACATGACACCAATAAAGTTGATGCGACAACGACACTGGCCAGTCACCTGATCACAGGACTGGCCCAAGGAGCCATACAAGTCACAGTTGCAGGCTGAATTTAAATATTTTCAGATATATCCAACCATTAAAAAAAATCATAATTATCATAAATAGAATTATACAATAATATGATTATTTGACAATAGAACAATAAGACTATACATGCTAGAAAAATTATTTTAACAATAAAACTATGTTAATAGAAAGAATAACAAGACTATATGATAATGCAAAAAAAAATAAGCCTGTTGAGAAAAATATTACTAATAAGACTATATAATAATACACAGAAATATAAGTCTAATAGAAATAAAGAAAAAAACTGACAACAGAAACAATATTATTATTATCTGATTCTGGATAGAATATTAACACCATCTGGTAATGCAAAAGTAGTTTCCAATAACTTGAGATAATTTAGACTGAAGACAAATTTTCTAAATTAAATTTAGTTTCAGTACTTTTCAACATTTTCGGTAAGGAATCTTCAAACCCTGAGGCATCAAAAGTGTATCCCTGACACTCCTAAATACATGACTTTCAAAAAGGCTAAAAATATAGCAGAAATGGCTACAGAAAAATCCAGACTTTGGAATACTGTTCAGACCAAACATAAAAACAATACATTACATGATGGTTTGTAAATTCCCAGAAAGATTTTGGAATTAGGAATTAAATGTCTGTATAACAAGAAAGGATGTATGAGAGGAACAGTATGAAATGTGTACAACCTGTGTATTGCTGGAATAGTCTGTATCTACCCCTAGACATCTGACATTTGCTGTGAGAGACAGAGCATCTAGTAAGCTAGGACATCGACTCTTCAATCAATATTCTCTTATCACAGAAGTGAGCTCATTACACACAGTAACATCTTTTTTAGGACAAAAGCATCATGAAAAATCACGATAGGTTTTTTTAAATTTTGGAGCGAGTCTCTTATTTTCTGTAAAACATGGCAGTTGACCCCATACTTACGTGCACAATCTGGGTATTTGTAGTAGCCGGGGGCACATCTCTCACAGTTGCGACCTCCGTAGTTAGTCCTACACTGGCACTGTCCATTCTCAGCACATACAGTACTCAGTGAGCCTGGATCAGCACACTCACATTCTGAAATGTACATTGTAAATCAGCAATTTAACTGATGCAAGTGATTTACTGATCACTTGATTAGATGGATTGTAAGGTACTTGTATAATATGTGTTTGGGATCAACATATTAAACCCTGAACGTAATGTCTTGCACTACTAAAAATTAACACTTAGTTTTATGAGCTATGTGGTACTTGTATGATATGTGTATGGGATCAGCATCTTAAACACTTAATGTAATGTCATGCTAGTACTAACAATTAACACTTAGTTTCATGAGCTATGTGGTACCTTTATGAGATGTGTGGGATCAGCATATTAAACACCTAACATATCTGACATAATGCCACACAGTGGCATACTTAACAATAGGTTACATAAGCTGTTTGGTACCTTTACAATCTATTTTCAAAAGGCCAAATATGTGTGACATACTTTCATTCACAGGAAAGTTAAAGAAACCAGGTGTCATGTCTACAGAAGAGATAGTTATGAATCCAATATCTCAACAGACAAGGAAGTTGGAAGAAGCCAGGTATAATGGCTATAGAAGGGATAGTTATGCATGAAATACCTTAAAAGACAGGGAAACTGAAGAAGCCAGGTGTGATGTCTATAGAAGAGATAGTTATGAATCAAATATCTTGACAGACAGGGAAGTTGAAGAAGCCAGGTATGATGTCTAAAGAAGGGATAGTTATGCATGAAATACCTTAACAGACAGGGAAACTGAAGAAGCCAGGTGTGATGTCTATAGAAGAGATAGTTATGAATCAAATATCTTGACAGACAGGGAAGTTGAAGAAGTCAGGTGTGATGTCTACAAAAGGGATAGTTATGCATGAAATACCTTAACAGACAGGGAAACTGAAGAAGCCATGTATGATGTCTATAGAAGAGATAGTTATGAATCAAATATCTTGACAGACAGGGAAGTTGAAGAAGCCATGTATAATGGCTACAGAAGGGTTTGTTACGCATGAAATACCTTAACAGATAGGGAAGTTGAAGAAGCCAGGTATAATGTCTACAGAAGGGATTGTCATGAATGAAATATCCTGACAGACAGGGAAACTCAAGAAGTCAGGTGTGATGTCTATAGAAGGGACAGCTAAGTGTCAAATACCTTGACAGACAGAAAAGTTGAAGAAGCCAGGTGTGATGTCTATAAAAGGGACAGTTAAGTATCACAAACTTTGACAGACAGGAAAGTTGAAGAAGCCAGATGTTATGTCTATAGAAGGGACATTTAAGTGTCAAATACCTTGACAGACAGGAAAGTTGAAGAAGCCAGGTGTGCATCTGTCACATCTGTTGGTGGTGTAGTTTGGTTTACACAAGCAGGTGCCAGTGCCCTTGTCACACACCTCTTTCTCTGTCCCAGCATGGTCACAGTTGCAGTCTGTGTGCATAATGAGAGTATTTTGTAGAATTCAAAAAACAGCAGATTACTAAACAATGATAAAGGAGATAAACTATATCTTCGATGATCTACAATAAACACACAAACATGCCTAAAGAGAGACACAGAGAAAGAGACACACACAAAGATACATAAACATGAGAGAGAGAGAAAGAGAGAGAGAAGAAACAGAAGCAGGGAGACAGACAAAAAAAACAAGAGGGGGAAGGAGAGAGATGGTCAGGCCAGTAGGCAAACAAAATCAGAGGAAATAAGACAGAAATAGAGGAAAAGCAAAGTATAGCATAAATGAATCACTAACATAGTATTAGTGAATCACATGGAAACTGAGAAACAACAAATATAAAATTAATCACACAGGCACTGAGAGACAGCAAAAGTAGCATAACTGAATCACATGATCACTGAGAAACAGCAAAAGTGAATCACATGGACAATTGGAGACAATAAAAACAGTATAATTGAATCATAGGGATGCTGATAAACAACAAGAGTAGTATACTGAATCACACAGACACTGATAAACCACAAAATTAATATAAGGGAAACACTTACACTGACACCGAGGAAAACCATAGTAACCATCAGCACACTGCCCACAAACCTGACCACCAAAGTTGCCCTGACACTGACACTGTCCTGTCTCAAGGTCACACACTGAACTGGGCGATCCAACAGGGTTGCATTCACAAGCTGAAACAACACAGTCACAGCTGTAATAATTTTGTAACAACACACAATTGAAAATTGATTCCATGCTTTCCTTTGAGCTATTTTAATGTGTTAGCCAGCCTAGTTCTGCTGATAATAATGGGGATTCCTTATAAATTGTGAGTAATTTATGCAGTTTTCTTCAAAGAAGAAAATGTGTAAATTCGATCCCAATTACTGGGGAGAAGGAAGCTAGTCCAAAAAAAAAAAAAAAGTTTAGTTTTTGCAGAATGGTTCAATATGTAATGCTAGGTAATTTCTTATATCAGATCATGATATCCTTGGTGCTGTGTGATTATTCCTATTCTCTGAAACCTTCCTTCACACATGCACATGCATGTACACGCACACACGTACGCACATGCACATACACACACAGATATAGAGAGAGAGAGATACGTCTAGGTCAAACCAAGTGCCAGAATCTAATCTTAATATTTCTTCTTCTATGTTTCTTGGTTTGTAACTGCATAATGTAGTCTGTTTTCTTGATAACATTGCTAGATTCTGATTTGTATTCAAGCGTTATGGTGAGAACTGGTGTTGAACTTGCTGGTAGGAAGACAGGTCTCAGTTCATCTGTGAAGTTTGAAAGGCATACTAAAAAAACAGTGATACAGTATTACTGGTCATAAACCAGTCCTTTATTCACCTTGACCTGCACAACCAGACATGTTGGTCTAAAAAGTAATGAGCAAGCAGACCAACTGACAAGCAAAGCACTATTACAAGCTTGGAAAAGTATAGACAGGACTAATAAAGTCAATCCTGTGTGGATTATTTTTCTATCTCCCAAATGGAGCATAGGACTTCAACCAACTGATGCCAGGTCCTTCTATCCTTCACTATTGCATACTGCATACCCCATGTCTTCCCTATCTTTTTAACTTCACTCTCTAGCTCCCTGCTCCATGTGTTTTTCAGTCTGCCTTTATTTCTATGTCCCTGGGGGTTCCAGGGACATTCTAGTTAGATTGTAGGTTTATAACAGAGGGCTATGGCGGATAATAATTAGTCTGACCCTGATCAATGTATCCTTGAAGCAAAGCCTGGGCAAGCATGCCTATGCTGTTGAGACACAGTCACCATTGAAAAGCTAAGAAGAATAGTAGGCACAGTACAGGTGAATGATTTCACAGAACATCAAAGAATCAAATGGTTTGGTAAACCGGTCAGAACAGAACAAAATCAGCCAGAAGCTAGAGTGTGCTATATAGAACAGCAGGCAACAAGGCAACTGGCAGATTTAAAAAAAAAAGGTGTGTGGAGAAGGTAAAAGAAACACTAAAAAAAATGCAATATGACATTAACACCAGCTACATGACTAGTAAGATTCAGGAAACTACAAATAACTCTTCTCTGAAACACTTTACGGCACAAGCAGTAGGATAAAATAATAAGAAGAAACAATTAGTAACACTTACGTTTGCACTCTGGGAAGTTGTAGTAGCCAGGGGCACACTGATCACACTTGTGCCCAGCATAGTTGTACTTGCAAGGACAGACTCCAGAGCCAACAGTGCACACAGCACCTTCCGTTCCATTGATGTTACACTCACAGGGAATACAGACTGGGTACCCGTAGTAACCAAAGTTGCACCTGTTGTTAACATGGAATACAACATCCAATAAATAAACAGCCCAACCAAAAGAGATAGAAGAAGAAGAAGAAATTAGTCTGCATTATGCAAATCTGATAACATGCGATAGAGTGGATAATGTTATTCATTAGCAAATAATGACAAGCGCAAACTATAAGTAAAAAAAGGTAAAGGACCCTTTCCCACGTGTTTAGGTGTATGGGGCATATAGGGCTAGACCTTTATTTTTATAGACCAATCGGCAATTAATGGGTGATATGGTCGGCGTCACGACGGCCACCTTTACTTCCCGGGACTACACCCCGTACCCACTCGATGCTGGGTTGACCTGGGAGCCAAGGAACACAAACTATACTTGTTCCAAAAGTTGTTTTAAAAGTCATGCCCAACTGAATAAATCTGTGTAACTTAGCAACCATTCAGTGTAAACTGTTGACATCTGACCTGCAAGTTGACAACAATCATGTCCTTGTAGGAAAAGGAATATTATGTAATAAGCATTTAATTTTTGTGTGCCTTAATTGTGGTATATGAAAAATGGACACTGATTCAAAGCATACAATAAGAATATTTACAGAACTGGTTTGAAGTGAAGTTGGCAAAGCATCAAGTTAACCATGTTTTGGAGGTAATCCATGAAAAGAAATAAAGCAAGATTATTCTGAACAATAAAGTTGACACATCATGTACTGCCATAATAGTTGCTAACTGGCTAAGAAAAAGTAAACAATTTGTGTCAATTATTTTCTTTTTTAAAAGGTACACACATTATTTGTCAGACAAAGATCAAAGAAATTCACCACTGTAAGAAAATAGCATCATCTATATATATAAAAATCAATGTTTGTGTGTTTGTTTGCCCCCAATAGACTCGGAAACTACTGAACCGATTTAGCTAAAATTTTCAGGATATGTTTGTTTTGATACCGGATGTTGAACCATCATGGTTTGAAATTCAACCTGTCACTGTTAGAGATAGGTGACCACAATTTAAGCCATAATATTCTAAACTAATATTTATAATTTTAGTGATTTCTAATTATAGCCACATTAGTAATTGCGCATGCGCCGTGCAGCCAACACCTCCTCTAATACATAGAGTAGGTCGTGGTACAGCAAACAAGACTATATCTATATCTGTGCAGGCAATGATTGCCACAATAACTATATTAGACACGATTTCTATTTTCTGTTTTTTTTTTCAAACATCCTTCGATGAGTTGAAAAGTAGCCGATGGATTGGTAGGGAAAAAGAGGGGGTGGGGGGGGGGGGGGCATCAGGGACCATCTCGACGTCTGCGCAGACATTGACTGCGACATTAACCATGTTAGACACGTGCAATTTCTTTTGTTGTGCTGTTTCATTGATATATTTGGAATATCTGTCTATGAGAAAACAATTGCCTGCTGTTTTGAGTTGTGTTATAATCAGGACACTGCAGTAGGGACACACATCTAAAATAGTTATGTTCTCTTTTCGTTATTCTGATCGAGTGGTTGCTTGGTCGAATGGTTAGAACACTCGGCTCTTGAGAGGGAGACCAGGGTTCGAATCCGCAGTAGTTTTTTTTTTTTTTTTTTACTTAGGGCTAAAATAAAATCCTCACCTGCACTGTCATGGCGACAGCACTAGCCATATGGCCCTTAATGATATATATTTAAAAAAAAAAAAAAAAAACAAGGACAGGTTTGTGGGTAAACCAGTTGATAATTAAATTTGACCATTTCACATACTTATGATTTCATTTTAAACTTTTTGATTGCATGGTTATGCTGAAATTTCATAGCTTTCCATTTATTTTCATTTAGATTCAATTATTTCATCTGCGTTGGAATTTTAAGCTGTGCTGTTTACTATAGAGTTCATTTCCTAATTCTGGTGTATTTTTCCTGTTTTAATTGCTTTTCAATTGTTTTTTTTTCCCTCTCAACTACTTCGATGAGGGAAAGAGTAGTCAGTGAATTTGGGGGGGGGGGGGGGGGGGGGGGGGGGGGGGGGAAACTGATTACTGAGAGAGCTTTAAGTCACAGTAACTGCTTTACCCACTCAAAGTAGCAGCAGCAGTAGTAGTTGTGGTTGGGCGGTTACACCGTAGTGCTCTAATGTGAAGACCGCCGGTAAGGTTATGGCATTCTTCTGTCGGGGAGCGAAATCATACATCCTAACCTGACCAGTCCGTGGCGACAGCACTAGCCATGCGGCGCCAAATCTTCTGGCTCATGACTCCCTGTCTACTCCGATGGTAAAACAGATAGCAGTGACATTAATTTAGCTACTGTGGTGGTGGTCGTGGTAGTAGTTGTACTGGTACTTGAAGGATGATGCGGTAAATATTACATTAGCCCCATTCACTACCTATTACAATTCCTGCTCCCAATTTAGTCTGGATGGACAGGGATGTCAATGTCAGTTACAACAAAAA